CCATATCAAAACTGAAAAATATTATGTAATAAACTCAGTAAGCTCAATCGAATCATGGTATCGAATTATCTAAGGCCCAGTAGTTTTAAATGTTAAGTGCATAAATATTCGCACAAAAAGCAAACGTAATCAATTTCATAAGAAAAATTACAGAGTTTCTTAAAACGATGCTTTGATTTCAAGGTTTAATACCCAATGACGGACTTTGCATCCAAATAATTTCGGGGTTTCTCACCCATGGATTTTGCGTACAAATAATTTATAGGTTTCTCACCCATAAATTTGTGGCATGCTATGACTAACACAAAAAACAAATGGATTCATTATCCATAGAATTTGGTTTGCGGGTTTGACCCCATTTGATTGAAGGATGACCACACATTTGATGAAGGCTTATGAGGATCAAGAGAATTGGTCAAAAGCAAGGAGGAAATATTTCACAAAAGAGGACATCAGATGGCTCATTGGGTGTCTTTGGTCTCTTCATTTTCGCAGCATTGTAGAAGAAGAACTGCACCTTATTTTTTTCCTTCAGCCTCAAGGCTGTGTTCTCTCTTCTCTGCCCTTGTCCTTTTCCTTTGCAGCTTGCTTTTTTATTTTTATTTTTCCGGCTGCTTTTCCCTTGATCTCCCCACCTCACTTTTTATTCTTTTCTTGCTGTTTATATATTGATCACCCATCAGAGAATGTTCTAATTTGAAAACATGATGATAAGCTGAGCCTCAAAAACGGAAATGCCAATCTCCTATGAGAGTGCCCACTTTTGGTCAAACTCTCATCTTTTTCTTTTTGAATTTCCTTCCTTTATCTGATCAGCAAGTTTGTTTTGTTTTGAGCACTTATCAACTTAGATTAGATAAGGTTTGTTGGACCTGGGATTTGACCAATACAACCTTGGCCATTTTTTTGTGAATTTTTTTGGTTCAACAGTGACATTGGAGAGGTGGCATAAATGAAGATTTCTTTAGTTTCCTCCAACATTTCAACTTCAAATTTGAAAAGAAACTTATTGTCAACATTAATTTTTTTTGGTATAAGTGTCAAATTATGTGTATACACAAATATGTGCAATTATAATACAATTATCTCTGACTATAACTTATATACACAAACGAAATGAAAATGACAAGCTGTTAACAATTGAAGCTGTGTGATTGTGACTAATACTAACAACATTGAACTTGTGTGAGTCTGTGACTAGTGCTAATAGCATTGTAATGAAAGTTGTGTGAGTCTGTGACTAGTGCTAATAACATTGTAATGAAAGTTGTGTGAGTCTGAATAATACTAACAACATTGAAGTTGTGTGAGTCTGTGACTAGTACCAATAACATTGTAATGAAAGTTGTGTGACTCTATATAAAAAAAGGTGAATGTGCATATATGTACAGAAACGGTCTTATATAAGATTCAACAATGTAAAAAAGCGATGTCCCTATGAGGGAGAGACACACACTAGTGTCACTCCTCTCAATCTCATTGATTCCGTTCCGCCCCCAAGTCCCTCCATATTCCATCGATTCTGCACTGTGCTTCTTCTTCTTTGAACAACACTAGCAAGATGACTGACGTGTAGTTTAAATTCCCCAACCCCTGCCCCACCTCATATGTCATACAAAATGAGATATCATAATTAATGAATGAGATGAACTTTCAAACAAGCTTTATGGTATAGATGAAGGGAAATATGCCCTTGAATGATCTTCAAATGACATTGACTTGTAGACCGGAGGTCTCAGGTTCGAATCCCCACAACATCATAGTTGTATGCATGTGTGAGAAATCTCCCTTGTAGTTTAGACTATTGCTTGTATGTATTTTCAAATTTATTATTATTATTATGGTCTGGATGAAATGCTTGAATGAAGCTGCCAAATGATATGTCAGAAGAATAAAAGATATGTCATTAATGCCAAAATGATGAAAAATCTTCAAAACATTTAATTAACAAAAAAAAAATAATAATCTGGATTTACAATGTTGAGGCATCAAGAAAATTCACTCATGACATCCAAAAGACATGTTAGTTTTGGCCACAAGAGGAACACAAATCCATACAAAAGCAATCAACTGTCAAGCATCCACCACCTCATAGACTAGGATCAGCTGCCATGCCTTAAATTTTGGAAGTGCTCTACACTTCAACTCAGTTTGGTTTGACCTCTTTTATATATTGCTGAAGTCCATGTATTTCTTACAATATTTGCCTGAGATGCCAAGCCTGGAATCATATCTTATCCTGTTTCATATCAGAAAGAAAGAATCAATCTGCATTAGTAAGTGTACATACATATCGTATACTAAAAAACACATCCATTTTCTGTGTACTTCTCAATTCTAGGAAAAATATACGTTTTCAATCGTTACATATTATTTGTGTATTATACAAGTATTATTTCATTTATGTATTTCATACGTACTTTCTCCATTCTGTGTACTAACTATGATTTGCAAAACTAAAGAAGAAGAAAACAAATTGAGAGAGAGAGAGAGAGAGAGAGAGAGAGACCTCTTAGAGGATACTTGAATGGTGTTGCTGCTGCCTATTGAACTGGATTCATTTGGAAGTTTGAAGGCAAAGTATCTTTCTCTGTTCTCCTCATCCTTGCCAATGCTTCTAAAACAATGACTGAGAGCAGAATCACGCCGAGAAGAAACCCGTAGCCTATCTTCCAATCATTTCCTGCAGCTCCAATTTTGATCCCGAGAATTATGTTCACAGCTGCAAAGAAGACTGCAAACCTTCCAAGCCAGTGGTGGTACCAATTCCAGTACTTTCTAATCTTGGCATCCTTGTTGGGTCTAAGAAAAAATGCCAGTATCTGAAAACCTCAAAGTCAAAAACTCAAAAATATCAAATCATAGTTCCTTGTATATAGATATGTACTAATCAAAACTATTTTTATAAATTTTTGTATAATAAATTTAATTGAGAGGGACAAACCTGAAGGATACTAAGCACAAGAACAAAGATCCCTATGGCTCTATGTGTTGGGAAGTGGGCTCCTATTTTGGTATAGAGTTGTTGCCCAAGTACCACAGCTGCCAGCCCAATGACAAACCCAACAAATTGAATAAGTGCATGGAGATAGTACCACAAAGGGTCCTTGTGCTTGAAGTATCTTGGGACAATTGCCCCAACAGGAATTATTAGACCCCATCCAAATATAGCCAATATTCCATGGTTCTTCTTCATCTGCCCAAAGTTTGTTGGTGCCTTAGATGCAGAACCTGCAGAGAAATCGAACAGGATGGTTGTTTTATCGTTGTGCTTGGTTAGGTGGTGGTGCTTAGGGTAACCGCTTCCGATAGCCAAGATAATTGGCTGCCGGGCTAGATGAGTCGGGAATTTCAACTGAAATGCCAGGTAAATTCTGGGGCCATGAAGCACAAGGGAAGCAGGGATGCCGGTGAGTGGCAATTCACCTTTGTCTGGTACGACTTCTGACACCTTTGAACCCTGCAAATAGTATTGCTTAATTCTTGCTTGACCTTTTCTGTTAACCCATCCCACCATGGCACTTGAACCAACCATCATGCCATCTTTGGAAAATCCCAATCCTACCCATCCAGTGGTGTATACAGCAGACAATATAATGTTCATGACATGATCTTCAGTCTGAGAGTACTGCAACAAAGCAAAAAAAATAAAAATAAATTTTTTTTTGATGTTATATAATTAAGGATGTCTTAAACAACATTGCAAGTTGCAACTACAAGTTCAGAACCAACTAAACATTGAAGTACAAATTGAGAACAGAGACTTACCCTCAAAACAAAAGTGTTCCAAATAGGCCTACAGACTACATCTGATAAATTACCATATGGTGGTAGCATAAAACTACTCAGCTCATTATCACAAAGCTCTGATACTCCGCCACCCACACCGGCACTATTGACTCCCGGAACATTACTGTCATCATCAGCCACAACCGAAATCTTGGTATCCAAGACAAGGGCCAGAATAACACATACCCTGCAAGCAAACCTCAAAGCCAAAGACCAAGACCCCGAACTCGCCATTCGAAAGACTGAGAACTTTGAATTGAGATCTAAGGCTCAGAACAAGCAGTGACAAAGACCAGGAACAATGTGGGTTGTGAAAGAGAAGCATATTCAGGTCAGGAGGTTGGGAGGTTTTAGTCTCTTGGGTTTGAAGTAAAATGGAATGTGGTTGGTGTTGGTGGGGGCTGGTGGTTGGTGCTAGCGGGTGTTTAAGTTTTAACACCCAAAAATAACCAAATCAAAGATTTACGACATGACATCCTACAGCGGTTTGACATCATTCCGCCAATTCTTGCAAGTTAACCCTCCAACAATGAGTCTCTTTCAACAGTTTTTTTATTAAATCCTTTTATTTATTGGGAGAGACATCATTAAATTGCAAAAATAGTGCAATTTTATTATTTGGAAATTCAACAATAACAACAACAACAAAAAATGATAATTTGTGGGTCATATAAGATGCTGGATGGATGGATGGATGGATGGATGGATATGATGAATGATGAAACTTTGAAGTTGACTTGTTGTGTATTACAAGATACCATAATGAAGGTCTTATATAATTTGTTTATTGCTTTCAAAAGCATCTTAGCCATTAACCAAATCTAACAGACAGAAACCTCACCACAAGGGAAAATTTGAAAAAAAACACTTAAAAAATAGTGACCATTGATGACTTTTTAAGCAATACATAGAAGTAGAGACTACAAAAAATAGTAGAGTCAGTCAGGGTTGAAGTTCAGGCCACATTTTGGATGCAACCCCATTATTGCTTGCTAGAACCTGAAGTGCAGATTGAGGCAACAAATCTGTGAGGGGTGCAAATTCCCCAACCTGCCCTTTTATTCATGATGGTGTGCAATGACATTTTTAACCTTGAGACCACTGATCTGATCACTGCAGAGACTTGTTTGGAGGGTTCACAGATAGAAGAGATCCTGATCATCTTTTTCCCTATGCATGTTTACACCAAACGAATGGACATGAAAAGTGATTTAGCCAGTAACCCTAAAGATATGCTCCTCACCACTCTTCTCATCAACCTTGACAACCCATTTGCTCTTACCACTTCTCTTCTTCCTTCCTCCACCCCAATCTCCCTTTCCAATCTCTTTGTTCTTCCCAATCATGGTGACCTCCATCCCTTTCCCTATCGGATGCTTCGTGGACCTTACCACAACCCTCTCCTCCTTCACTTCCATATGTCCTCCCAGCCCTTTTCTTTCACCAACCAAGTTGTTAGCCACAACCACTGATTTTCTAGGATTCACATCAAGCAACTGCAGCAGCCTTGTGTACTCATCGTTCTTGCAATCAACCAGAGAGAAATCAATGTTCTCATAATTTGACAATAGCTCAGAGGGGTCTCCGGTCCTGAATTCAACCAAGTCTTTTAGGCCTGAGTCTTTGATTACTTTTTTCGATTCGTCGAGAACTGGCTCTGGGACAATGCAGACCAATCTGCCCCCGGTGTGTTTTGCAGCAGCTGCTAAGGCTATTGTTGATGGGGAAACACTTGAGGCCACCTCCACTATGAGCTTGGCTTTCATGCCAGCTGCCAAGGCCGATACAAACTCATTGCTCCCTGGCTCTTGTGTTTTCCATGAGTCACTTTGTCTCCTTCGGTCATTACACTGCAGATTAATACACGAATTTGGAGTTAGCAAACATGAAAGTTTTTCTCACATTCTTTATTAAGCTTCAAACCATGAAGGGAAAAAAGATTCAAAATTGGAAAACTATAGTCCTTGAAAATGCAATCTTATTTGACTTCTCGACATGTTGTCAAACTGTCAATATGGGCAATTAATCAAGTAAATTTTCTTAGAATGTGCATTGGATTTACAGTTGAGCAATGTAACATGTCAAATTTTTGTTGCAAGAAAACATTATCACCACTAAAGTATGTGACAAAGCTTCCATGGTATCATTTCTGCAATGATCTCAAAAGGCAACAAAACCCTAAGAAATACCAAAAATCATGAAGATGAAAAAACCCAAATGACCAATTGAACCAATGATGGTTTCCAATACTCTAAAACAAAATTGAATAAAACACAAAACAGAGAAATGTACCAGTTTGAGGGTATCAAAATAAGCATTCGAAGCAGAAGCTGCAGACCAATCCATCATCCCCATAGCCCCCATGAGATTAATATAACTTGTTCCAATTCTAACAAAGAACAGAAGATGCAAAAAAACTTGGGCGCAAACAATCAAGAGCAGGGAATTAGAACGTGTTTTTTGCTCTGAAACAGGACAAAAATTACAACGTTTACTGCAGTCCTGGTTTATTGTTTGTGCTCTACTGTTCATATATGCCTTCTGTTTTGTTTTTTGGTTTGTTTTGATTGGTTTGGTTTTTGGTTTGTTTGTTTTGAACAAATATATAAGAGAAGGTGCTTCAGAAGCGTACGATTGGAGCAGAGGAAGGACGCGGAAACATACGCAGTCAAAGCGTGTTAATTAGTTGAAAACCGTAGAGCAAAATGTGCGGGAAAATTAGCTATTACTATTGCTCATTTGTCTAAAAATGGCAAACTACTAGTTTGACTAGAAGCTTCTTTAGACTACTCTTGAACTGGTTTGTTTGATCTTTTTATTTTTATTTTTCTCTTTTATTCTGCTTTTTCTTTCTTTTATATATCATAACAAGTTTGAAAGACAAACAGAAGCCTCACCACTTAGCATATAAATCATAGAGTATGGTAAAAGTTGATCAAAGTTAAGTCAATTTCATTAAGATTTGACAAGTTTGCTGCAACCAAGTTGAAGACTTGAAATTAAATTGTTCCCTTTTCTTGTTCAAGAAAAATAAAAAATAAAAAATAATTTACGAGTGTAATTCAATACATGTTGTGATGTTTAGTTCACTTTTTCAAGCGAAATAATAGATGTAATTAGTTTAAGAAGTTTAAGCTTCAACTCAGTGATACTTTGACATTTAGGTTGAATATGTTTGGAAGTGCTTTTGGAAGGACTACTAAGTGCCCGTTTGACATTGCTTATTTGGGGTGATAAATGATTTATTTTTAAATTTGAGAAACTCAACCCGTTTGGTATATGATGAAATCATTTATTATTAAAATTGATGTGAGAGAAAGTTATAAGGGAAAGTAGCTAATGAGGTGCTTTCATTTTCTGATTATGCAGGAATCAGTTTCGAAGAGGCCCTGGATTTAATGATTATGCGACAATCATTTTTTAATTATGCAGGAATCAGTACTAACAACACTTTTAACAAAAAATCTACCAAATGTCAAAAACTGCTTTATCTCACAGCAAATCTGTTAGCGACTATTTTCACAGCACAACAATGCCAAATTGGCCCTAAAAACGTTTTCTGATAACTAAAATTGCTTCTACACAACGTTTAGCTGAAAAATTTAGAAGTGCTTATAGGTTATAGACGCAGTTTATGGAGAATCACTTGTTATGTGCTTCTTCAAGAAGCACTCTCAACTTCAAGTGCCTTTTCAAGAAGCACTTGGATTTCTTATGAAAATTTCAACATCTTTATAATAAGCACACATTTTCTAGAAGCGATTATGAGCACTGAAATGCGAGAGTGCATTTACATTCTTATCCCATCCACACCATCACAATGGAGTGTGACAAATGCATGCCCCATTTATTTCCCCTAAACTTAAACAAAAAATAATAAAAATAATAAAATGAAATAGCCATTTTTTTTCTTTTCTTTTTTTACTTGACAGGCCCTCTTGCCACGACAGCTTCCTTGACAAGGTTGAGAGATTGTACAATATCATCACACAATAGGTGGGGATCAGGAATTGTCTCTTCATCCACTGACAGAACAATAGTCATCTTGTTTATGTAACTTTGGAAGTTAATCATCAATGCCTGTAAATTAATCAGTCCTAGTTAATCAAATGCTACATGAAAGCATTTAATTATACCCATAATTAATGAGAAATTTTTATATAAAAAAACTTACATGTGGTTGACCATAAGAACTTGGAGCAAGGAAAGCCATTGGATGGCCATAGAAACCAATTTCCTCAAGTGGACCAACCAGATTGGAGAAGCACATTGTTGTGTGAGAAATAACTCTATGGGATAGAGCACTCGCCCTCTGTTAATTAAACATGGATTATTATATTAGAGCAGGTTGATTTGTACAAAACCCAATTGAGACATATATATATATATATATATATACCTGATAGATTAATAAGAAATTTTCCTATGCAGACATCCGAACATTATTACCGTGCGGACATTCAGATGAGAGAATAACTGATAGATTCATTATTTATATACCTTAATGCCAAAAAGCTTGAGAACTAGTTCTGCAATGGAGAAAGTGTAAATGGCTTCAAGAGAATGTTTCTTTCTGTCAATTGTGGTCTTGGCTTCTCGAATATAGTCTAATGGGTCATCTCTTAAAGCAATTGTGAAAGGAAGGAGGACATAACCAATCCAATTGCCCCATTTTGCTTCTGTGTTCTTCTCCATCATATCAGCCAAAGCCTGCACTCACAAATATATACAAACGAATATTGAAGCTTCAAATTATGATTTTGAGAGCTGCATATATGAAAAATCGAACATATTAATCAATATTATTTACCTGAATTCCTGCAGCTGGTCTAATATTAATGAGCAAAGTTGATCTGAGGCGAATGTTCTCAGGAAGATTGTTTTTCTTCTCAGCTCCACTGTCCTTGTTCTCATCGTCACCTAGGTGGCCACATGCAAGAATGGAAAATTTTGATTCATGTATTGCATAAATATTTAAGAAAATTTTTAAAAAAACCATATTCTAAAATAATTGCAATGAGTTTTTGAAAGGCATTTTAGAGATGGAAGTTCACCATATCTTCTATTGAGGTACCGGGACAAACCAGCCTGTGTGACACCCAAAGCAACATCATTTATGGTCTGCAAAACTCATAAACACTTGAACATTAGATATGAAGTTCAACTAGTGAGGAAGGACACGTAATCGAATCGGAGTAATGCTAGAAGGATCACATTTGCAGAATTCATGCGGCAGTTGATATATTAATTAACAGTTGATCATAGTAGTTGACGTAATATATATGATCCTTCTAGTATTATTCTATCGAATTTATTAAATTGATCATGTTTCCGTTACTTCATAGTTTAGCGAAATTTACTTACCAAATTCATTGCATTCTTAATCAGCTTCATGTCGTCCAAACTCAGAGTCTGATAAACAAATCGTCGAGGGTTGAACTCACTGCCTGGGGGACCTTTAAGAGGCGTCTTTGTGTCCTCCAAGCACAACGCAGTCAACATAAACATGAATACATCAACAAAAGTATTCCAAAACAACTTCAAAACCCACCAAGCCCCAAAGATGCACCACCAAAATCCTCTGTTAAAAACCCTCTTATCATCATCTTTCTTCTTCTTCACTGGAATGGTTGGGAGAGCCTCAGGGTTTGAGATTTGGCGGGTGCAAGCGAGCAGAAGAGACATGAGAGACGTGCCATCGCCAAGAGAGTGGTGGACTCTGAAAATGCCAGTGCCCTCTGCCTCGGAGGTTTTGAGGTTGAGGAGGTGTAGGTCCCACAGTGGCTTTGACTTGTCAATGGTTGTCTTGCTGAGGTTGTAGATGTAGTCTTCAACAAATTGGTCTGGTGACTCCATGTTTGGATCCAGGTCTGGAATAATTATGTGCTTGTCTAGATCCACCTCTGTTCTGACCCATTTCATTTTTCCTCCATTTTTCTCATCCACAACCTGTGTTGTATAATAAGTGTCACCAAAATTAAGAAGAGAAAGCTTATTAGAGGTTAAGACATATAAGTTTTAATTGTCGAAGTCTCTAACATTTTTTTGTCTAAATTACCGACATGTTTGGGGTTGCTTCTAAAAGTAAAAAAACGCTTATGACAACCAATTTTTCGATCATAAAAACACTTTCATGCGCTTCTCCAAAAAAAACACTTCAAAGTACTTTATCAAAAACCACTGCGATTTTTAATAGAGCTTTTTGGTCATAAAAACATTTTCATGTGCTACGTTGGATGTAATTAATATAACATATATGCATACATAAGTGACATCATGTGATCATATGAACTTAAATAATTTGAGTTTTGTTTGGATAGTAAATATTTACCAGTAAACTAGAGAAGCGAGGGTGCCTGAGCAAAGTGTGGGGCAAGTTGGCCTTAAAAACCTCAGGGTAAATCCTAGTCTTGCCCCCCATGATTGCTACAATATGCAGGTTGAAGTTTGGTTCATGGAACAAACGAGCAGCTGGGCTCAGTGGCTCTTCTTCCACATTCATCATCTCCTTGTTGCAGTTCCTTATGTCCACGCCAGCTTCTCCTCCATCTCTTCTTCCCTCCTCCTCCTCCTTTGCTCTCTTCGTTTTTATAGGAGCTGGCTTCCTCAACCTAACACCTTCCTCAGTCTCCATTTTTATTTAGGCTTCAGGGTAATGCATGCCTGGCCTGCAGGCTCAGGATTATATATATATACAATATTTTTTTTTACCTTTTTTTTTTCTTTAACTTTTTGGATAATCAAGTCATTATGATTTACAGGTGAGTTGCTGACCGATTTATGTGTCTTTTGCTGAAGTAGAAAACAATCGGTAATTAATTTCACACTAGAGAACAATAACCGTGTGATGTAAGTCCTGATCCAGATCCTGATCATCAAGGTTTCCGGATGCGGTTTTCGTTTACCCAATGGCCACGCGGTACAATCTCAAGCAATGTCATGATCCAGGTGGCTTTGAAGTTTGACCACCGAACCTTTTTTTTATAATAATTTCTCAGTGTAGGGTAAGAAAATATATAAAAGTAAAAACTTTAATCAGTTCTTTGTTAATAAGAAAATTAAGCCAAAAGAAAGAATGTGCAAAACAAACCGTGGTTACAAATCAGAGCTGATCATGGCTAAGCCAGGAAACCAAAGGCAAAAAGCTATAAAGCTAATCGCTCTTTCTTTCGTCATGGCAATTAATGAATAAAGGAATGGTAAATCATGTGAATCAAAAGAATTACTGCTGCCATCCTATTTACTGACCAATTTCTAACCCCTCCTAGCAAAGAAAATTAACCAACCAGACCTCCCTTCCCTACTTGGACCAAGCAACTGCTTCAATCTCAGACTGAGCACTTCTGTACAGCTCTAGCCTCTTTGCAAGGGACGTCCGCCGCTGCATCACTGCTGGGTCCTCATCCAGCAACTTAGCCAACTGCCTTGCCTGCAAATAAATATTGATTAATTACATGTTATCTGTATAAAGCCCGAAACGGTGAAACATTCAAAAATTCAATAAATATTTGATTGAGAGAGAAATAACTGACAAAATTCGTTATCCACTTTATAATTTTAGGTTTCTTTCAAATACCACATAAAAATTTGTTCATATTTTTATGTAATTAGTCAAATTGACACACGTTTTCGCTCGTGCCAAGAGACTAGTTACTTTAATACAATCCAGCTAGGTTTTCCCCCTTTTGATATTATTTTTAAAAATATTTCTATGTGTCTCATGTATTGAAACCTCACCTCCTTTGCACCCAACTCTGCGAAGAAATGATCGAGCAAGCAGCGTTTGGCCTCTCGTACTTGGCAGTAGACAATGGACTTAGGAATAGCAATCCTTAAACTCGAGCAAACCATGTTGACATAGTTCAAGACGTTGTGTCCTGTTTATTTCAAAAATACAAAGAAACCATGGTTAAAGTCAAAGTAGCATAGCATTAGAGTGAGAAAGTCAAAGTCAAAGTTGAAGCAAACTCACCAACCCGGCGGAGGTATGAATCATTGTATCGATCGAAAAGTGAGACTGTGGGATTTCCACCCTTCTCAATATCTTGAGGAAGCTTGCGGAAGAAGTCAACAGTCAAGTAACCACACTCCATGTCAACCAGCTGCAGAGTGGCTCTCTTGCTTTCTTCTTTCATCCTTTCCAGGGACTCAAAAGCTGCATTTGCAACTTCCACTCTTAAAGGGGGATACTGCTTTAGTTCCTGCATATATATGTGCCATGGAAGAACCGTTCAATTAAAAATAAAAGATTATATTAGGGAAAAATTAACGAAAGTATTTCTTCTCTATGTCAATCTTGGTTTTTACTCGATTTCTAAAACCTAAGAACATTTTGGATATTTTATAGGCAATTCAAGAATTCAAGGTGATGTTGAGGGACTTGCCGTTGTCTCACTTATAGACTTCTGAGCCAAATCCTTCAATATGCCATGAACCTGAAATCGGGAGAAAACATATCGAGCAAATCGTTTCAGGCACTGACACAGAATATATGTTATGTAATGAACCACTCACTTATATGTTGAATTTGTTTTTTTCAAGTTTCCGACATGAGATTTTATATTCTTCAACAAAAAATTCCTGAGGTTTAAGTGCCTAGGGAGATTACAGGTGAAGATATGCACGCATACCGCATCAACAGCTGCCTCTGCAGGACCTCTGATGCATATCAGTGAAGATTCAATAAGGCGACGGTATCCTTGTTCAGGAGCAATTAGATGAGGCTGATATCCATCTGCTTCAGTAATTAGCTTTCGGATGTTATCCATTGAAAGTTGCTTGTCAAATTGCAACCGCTTCAAAGCAGCTGGAAATTGATTATCAAACACACCATAAATTTTCTCACCACCAGAGCGCCTGCAGAAATTGAACCCAAGGTTGAATAAGAAACTAACATGAGATGAAAACAAAATTTCAAATAGGACAATATGCTAGCACGAAACATACACGCCATCGAGATGTTCTTTAAATATCTGATCAAAAGTGCGAGATATTTCCATGATCACATATAATTTTCCCTGCATGTCGAAAGAAGAGATCAAATTATGTAAACATTAATTAGCAAGATAAAAAGGAAATGGATGAGACGAAGAGAACAATGTGTATGTATATTCTTACTCCAGCATCAGCAGCAATGGGCTTCCCAAGTCGGCTTAGTTCTGATTCTAGTTCACCAATAGTTTTGCTGATGAGAGATTGAAGGCCTGGAATTCGTGACTTGATGACAACTTCCAAATGCTAAAAATTTGACACATTTTGTGCTAGTAAGATGTGTGTCGGTGGAACAAAATAAAAATGTGCTTCCCTAAAATTAACAATCTCAAAGACCAATACTTGCGCATCAAACTATTTAGGTGATTTGCTATTTTTGTTTTTTTTTTTTTTTTTTTTTTTTTTTTTACTGAAACATTTATGAAAATAAGGGATAAATTTTGGCTATTTTTTTTATTATTATAAAAACTCCTAGTTTTCGTCTTCTTTAATCAAATATTTTAACCACCACGCTAAAGTGTCGGCTATAATGATACATAAAACGAAAGGAAGCACTGATTAAAATGCTTCTACTCTCAATGGACCTTAATTACCCCTAAATTTGTCCTTTTTTTTCTTTTAAATATTTAGAAGTGAAAGCAATTGACAATAGCGTTTTTTTTTCTTCTTTTTAATTCCATTTAGTTAAATTAGAATGGAATACAAAAACATTAAAGCCTAGGATGAGAAACTTTCATACATCAGAGATATGCCAATAGAAATGCATTATCATGAAGTACGAATAACGCTCTTTTTAATCAGAAGTATGTTTTTATATGTGCTATTTTTATATTATCTTTATTTCAGAACCATTCATTTAAAACTTTACGAGTTATGGTAAATATTGTGAGAGAAAGTTGGCAAAGAATTTTTGCATGCACACCGAATTGAAGTTTTTGGTGGTGCAATTTCCAATTGTTAAGAATAAAATTCAGAACATGTTTTCAATGATGACTTTGCATGCCCCAAAAGAAGGCGGCAAAACAATCTAGGCTTAGAAAAAAGGGTGGCAGTATGTGAAGATGGGATGGGTAGTTGTAGGACGGGTGGATGATGGTGGTGGTGTGGAGAGAGATACTTAGGTGTTAATAAACCTGCATACCTTAGAAAGCACCCTTCCTAAATGCTCAGAACCCATCCTGTTTGCAAGATGCCTGTACTCTGCGCTACTTGAAAAATATTCACGCTCTCTACGCCTAGCAGCAATCATATCGATGCTCTTGTTTATGTCCGCTTGGGAGCGATTGACAACACCAATCCAAGGGAACTGTAGCTTATATGATCGTCCTTCCAAAATCTGACAAGTAAAAATAAAATAAACCCTGGGAAATTAGAAACTCTGAAGAGGCCACAGTGAAAATGAGAGGAGACTTTTGAGTACAAAACAGATGATGAGAGCCAAGAAAGTTGCTGCATCTAAGTGCAACGTCATCTTCATCTTGAAAATTATGAAAGCCTAAACTTTTACTCACTTTTCAAGTTCATCTAAATTAACTAAACTATCTCATTTGCAAACAGGACATACCACAAGAGATAATATCAACTAATATCTGAAAATCAATAACATAAGAAAATACCATTCATTACCTTTGCAAGAGAAAAATAAAGCTAACGACAACTTTCCACCTACTCCAACTAGTCAAAATGAAACACAAACCAAAAAAAACATAAACCCCACCCCCAAAAAAAAAAAAAAAAAAAAAAAAAAAAAAAAAAAAAAAATGTCATTGATCATCACAGAACACCACCCATACATTTTACTCAAACCAGAAGGCTTCACAACAAGGGCTCTGAAAATGAAACAATAAAAGGTCACCAAGTAGCTAAATTACTTGATTCCACATCATTTAAAAGCAAACAGGTATGGTCCATTTTTTTTATTTTTTTTTTCCGTTTTCCTCTTGGCTATGAATTTGGAAGCAACTTACTTCAACTGCATTTGTACCCTGGTCCATAAGATCAATCTTTGTCAGAACTCCAAACGTCCTCTCCCCTAAGAATTGGAAACCAAACTTAAAATCAATGTGCATGAAAGGTAAACTTCTCCTAATAAGTTAATCTGCAACTTTTCTAATGACATATACGTGTTGACCAATTGAATACTAGTGCATTTCTCTAAACAAGGGAAACAAGACTTAAGTAAGGTTCTCGTGAAACAAATGGAATCTTGACTTTCCTGTTTATCAAGGTTCAAAGAACATGGAATGTAGTGTTTTATATACATAAATCAATAAAGATGAGTATCACAAATTAGAACTTAGATATTGGACTTCAAATATAGATGATCACCTTTCAAATTAAAAATCTTTCTGCAGAACTGTTTACAACAATTATGTTCATCTATAGAAAGCAAATTTAAATGAAAACGAACTATTACTATGATCTCCAAATTGTGCGATTCTGCTTACTTTCACATCACTGCTGCAAAATTTTAACAAACTTACCTTTAGGGTCTACTTCACGAGAGATCTTAATTGCATCAGAAGTAGCAAGATCTTGGTTAGCAGGGGAAATTGCCAGAATAATACAGTTGGGCTGCAATAAAAGGCATATAGTAAGGGACATACAATGCGCAATTAAAAAAACTGACTCAAAAAGCACATAGGAAATCCAATCAAAACCCTTCTTTATTATGCAAGACTCATAAACTAATAGCTAAAAGATATGCTCAATAATTCTGTAAACAAATTACCTTCTCAATGAAGGCCCGAACCATATCCTCGATGTCCTGGACTGTGCCCTCCGGTTGACCATCTACAAGACCACACAATTAACACGTTCCTAAGTCCCAACTATTTTGAAAACGTTGAAAGGAAATTATAACTCACCAACAGCTACTTTTGTGAGTCCAGGAAGATCAACCAGTGTCAAGTTCACAACTGCCAAGCTCAAACAAATCATAAACATAAATCGAAACAGCTTTAATAAAAGCATTATGCAATTACTTGAAGAAAAAAAGAACACCTATAAAAGAGAACAATTTATCTTGAGCTCAGTGAAGATAACAGAGAAAAATTTAGTGAGACAGAATTAAAACCATGAAAGAGAACAATTTCGCGAGCTTCGGAGAATACGACCTCTCTTTCTTTTTGTGAATATCCTCAAATCAAAATTATTCAAATTGGCTATAACTCTATCTCACCATTAGGGGAGAAGATACTAAGATGGATTGGGACGCTTGAAATCGCCTTCGAGCGGCCGGTCTCTCTGTCAGTCTCATCAGATATCTCCTTCCTCACAGCAGCTACAAATAGAAAAAATACAAGATTTTGACATCAACGACGAAAGTCACAAAACCGAAACAATCTGCACAGATAATAATAAAGAAGAAGAAGAAGAATGTACCAAAATCAGTGAACCTCTTCCTTGGGAGATGCATAAACTCTGCGTATTCTCTTCCTTCATCGATCTTATGCAGCTGCAAAACCAGAGGACGACGCGTAACAATCCCTGCGCACAACGTCTTCGAATCAGAATACGAAACGCATAATCAACACGTTCGCGTAAGAAACCAAAAACAACGGCGTACCTGAACCACGAGGAAGAAAGTCCTTGCCAACAATGCTCTCCAACACCGACGACTTGCCGGAGCTCTGCGAAGCCAAAATTTTTTTTTGTGAGAATTGTGAAATTCGAAGATTCGATAAAATTGAATTGGAGAATAAGAGAGAGGAGAGACCTGGCCTCCGACGACGGCGATGGAGGGCAAGGAGTCCCAGAGAGTGGGCATGGCGCTCTCGTCGCCATGGTCGCCGAGAGCTGTGCACGCCCTCTGTATTTTATTCACCAGCGATATCAGATTCTCCATTGGATGGATGAACGAGTGGGATCGGTGAGTCGGATCAGTCGGAGGTGAGAGAGAGAGAGAGAGAGATAACAGAAATTTGGATTGGAAGTTGGAGAACGAAACGACGGGAAATGGAATCTTGGGTCGTTGGTGCGAAAATTTGTAATCTGTCAAGTTTGAAAATTGGGTAAGTTTTTGGGTTTAGCCCAAGCGAGTTGTGACCGATTCTACCGCTATGTGAGCCCAATGTTTCTAGTGACCTTCACCGGAGGAGGCTATAATGAGGAGTTGAAAGTAAGCAGGCTGTTTGAGAAGGTCAATCTCACCATTAATAAATGTAAAATGTTTTGATGGTGGAATTTGCCTCCTCAAATAGCCTCCCTACTTTAAATTTCCTATTGTAGCCTCTCCAGTGAACTTTATCAACAAACCTGCTTCAGATAAATATGGATTTGAATGGTGTATTTCCTTTGTTCTTTTTACATTGATGGGCACCCAAAAACATTTTTTTTCTTTTATAAAATAGGTCAAAGGAAGACAAGTAATTCAAACTTGGTGCCTGTAATTGGAAGAAGAGGAGTTAGAATTTGGAGTCCTGTTGAAGTTGTTTACTAATTCACTTGAGTAAAAATTCAAATCAGTTTGATTAATAAGAGGTGAATTTTCTAAATCTATTATTTTATGTAATAGTTAATAATAAAGTGAATGAGAAAATTTGGAATTTAGAAATTACTGTGAATGTACAACAGGTAAAAAATGGACTCTTGATGGGTCGTTTCTCCAACAATTATATCCTCAAAATCAAGAGTTTTAATATTTTGTGGTGCTTATGCTTTCATTCCCATATAATTAGAAAACACATGAGGAATCCATAAAAGGCACTAGAATTACAAGCTTCCACACTGTGAGGTTGATTTTTATGTACTATAATAACACATATTGGTCACAATATAGTATGAATAATCACATATACTAGTTACCTTTTATCAATATGTTACAGCGGAAAAAAAATCCGGATTAAGTTGAGTTATGATCAAATACATCAAACAAAAGATTTGTATTAGTTTTTATCCAACTTTGTAGATCGAAAAGTATAATTTATTTGGCGAATTAGAGTTTAAGATGAGATATAATATAGATTATACAAATTTTGCGCAACATATTAGAGAATCGATTTAGTTTTCCAATGGGAATGGGGTACCTATGAAAGATGCAAAGAGAAACTCATGAATTCTCCATCAAGAAAACCTTCCAACCTCACTTCTCTTGTACAGCGAAATTTTCAGGATTAATTTTTTTTTACAGTATAGCCGAGTGGCTGCACTATTTATATATAAAAAAGGGTGCGCCCAGCACCCAGGTGTCACGTGTCAAAACAGTAAAGCCGAGCGGCTATACTATTTAAAAAAAATTAGAAAAAACGAGTATAGCCGACCGGTTATACTATTTCTTAAAAAATAAAAAATAAAATCTATTTTAGCCGGGCGGCTCTACTATTTATATATACTAGTTTTAAAAAAAAATTTTAATTTATTTTAGAATTAAAAAAGGTAATGGGTAGTTGTGTTCCATAAAAATAAGATCCATTATCTGAATTTTCTTTTAATTTTTTTAATATGAAAAATTATGAATTTACTATATTATCCTCATTTAATTAATAATTTCAATTCTTAATGTTTGCATTCACTAATGACATTTTCTGGTATTTTGAATGTTTTACCATTTTCTGCATTTTGCTTTATATATATAGATATAGACCCTCCTAGCGCCTATGCGCCACATGTCAAAAAAGTAAAGCTGGTTAGATATACCAAATTTTTTTTTAATTGAGAAAAAAAAGAGTATAGCCAGACAGCTCTACTATTTTTTTTAAACAATTAGGAAAAAACTGAGTATAGCACAACTATACCATTTTTAAATATATAATATTTTTATTCAATAATATGTGAGAATTATGTGTATAATATGTGAATTTCGTGTGTCTTATTGAAATTTTAGTAAAAAATACGTGTATTAAACATGAGAAATACGTGCATACATATATAATACATTATTAAACGTGAAAGTGCTAAAATTTTTATACGAGTAATAACTCTAGAAAAGTAAAAAGTCAAAAAGTGATAATAGATGCTCGAGTAATGGCCTAATAGTAATGGATGGGGCTCTTGGGCTATGGAGAAATTTAATTAAGACACCCAAACAATTTCACAAAAGACTTAATAAATAGAAATTAATTATTTTGTGGACATTTTCTTCAATTTTTTTATACTAAAAATAAATATAAATTTAGTATCTTTTAGGTCCAACAAATTTTTATTTTAAATTTTCTTTTTTGTAATTAAATAATATCTTAGACTTATTTAATTATGTTTTAATTATTATTTCTTTAGGGAATAATTAAATTAATACATGGTAATTATTATTTTTAAATTATTTTATTTTTATTTAATCAAATATTTAAATACTAATTATTCTTTAAGTAAATAGTAATTAAAACATAACTACTAAATAAAGTAATTAAAAAAGGAAAATAAGATTATGCTATTCAAAGGGTATAGCCGGTTGGCTATACTTTTAAAATATTCTATTCAAAGAGTATAGCTGCTCGGATATACGTTTAAAATTATAAAAAAATTATAAAAAGGCCAGAAAACCTCTCCCTACGACATTCCTTCAGCACAAATCTATCCCGGTGAAATTTGCCGGATTAGACTTCCCCCAGCGAAGTTTCGTTGGCAGAAGTTGACTTCGTCGGTGCAAGTATCAAAACAGTAGAGCCGGTCGACTATACTATTTTTTTTAAAAATTAGGAAAAACCAGTATAGCAGCACGTCTATATATTTTCTTACAAAAATTTTAAAAAAAAATTTAGTATAGTCGGGTGGCTATAATATACTATATATATATATGTATATATATATATATACATAGAGAGTTTCCATTGAGGGACACCCCTTGTAAGGTACACTCCGGATTGTATTTCACTAATCCAAACCGTCTATTTTGTAGATACATATTCAAAGATTATCTCTACAAAAAATCACTTGAATCCGATATCATTTGACCATTCAATTGAGTTATTGAAATTTTAGTACTTTCTTGAAGCACCGTGTTCATTGATTTTGTAGGACACAATTGGATGTCGAAACGGTTTCCGATTTGTCTAATTTTTTGTAAGGATGATCTATGAATGAAGACCTAAAAAATAGATTGTTTGGATTATTGGAAGAAAAATTGTAAGGTACCCTAAAGGGCATCCCTCAAATAATTTTTATTTGAGGGATCCCTTAATAGAAGGGGACTGATATATATATATATATATATATAATCCCACCCACAGCCTATGCACCACGTGTCAAAATATTAAAGCCGTGCGGCTATACTATTTTTAAAAAACAATTAAGAAAACACTGGGTATAGCCATGCGGCTAGACCATTTTTAATATATGTTATTTTTATTCAATAATATGTAACAATTATGTGTATAATACCTGAATTTCGTGTGTCTTATTGAAATTTTTGTAAACAAATACGTGTATTAAACATGAAAAATACATGCATACGTGTATAATATATTATTAAACATGAAAGTGCTAAAATCTTTATACGGATAATAACTCTGGAAAAGTAAAAAATAAAAAAAGGAATAGTAGATACTCGAGTAATGGCCTAATAGTGATGGATACAGCTCTTAGGCTATGGAGAAATTTAATTAAGACACCCAAATAATTTCACAAAAAACTTAATAAATAGAATTAATTATTTTGTGGACATTTTCTTCAATTTTTTATATGAAATAATAATTAAAATACAATTACTAATTAAAGTAATTCCAAAAAGGCTAAGATATTACTTAATTACATATATTAAATTAAAGAAGTAGGTAAAAAAACAAAAGTAAAGAAATTAATTTTATATTTTTATAATAAAAATTTAAAAAAACCTCTCCCGACGAAAGTTCGGGAAGAGATGCCTATTCAATTTTCAAGAAAATCCAAAATGTGGAAAATGTACTCTCAAGAGTCTCTAGCATATTCCTTCCTCATTTGGATGTCCAAGGGCAAAATCGTTAAAATGACCCAAAAAGGCCTTTTCCCTGCCACAAATTCTCATCCCATATAAATACCAGTCCTCCCCAGCGCATAAATTCTGCTTTCCTCCACTCTCAAGCTTCCAGAGCGATTCACAAAGCCTGTAAATTGCTCTCTCTGAAATGCTGACTGAAACCAAAGGCCTCACATGGACTCAGTTGTAACAAAGCACGCATTCAGTTCCTTCAAGATCAGCCCATCACAGACCCAACAGCCCCTTCACACCACCACAACACACTTCTCCTTCTTCAGATTCTCTCACTTCAAAAAACTCAGAAAATCAACGTCTTCAATCTCTTGCTCTCATATACCTCCTTCCAATCCCAGACGCCCAAAATCCATATGGGATTCTCATAACTTTCCCTTAAATCCCATCTGGTTCTTGGTCCCAGTCCTCCAAAGCATCAGAGTTTTAGCTTCTTCACGAACCCAGAAGTGGGTTTCTTTCTTACAGGCTTACAGAGGCACGGAGTGTGTTGTACATGAAAAAAATAATGATTTTTTACATAATAGCGGGATAGGAGTTGCTTTGTTAAGCGTGACATCCAATGCCAAAGTAAAAATTAGTCCTTTCGTGGCTCAATTGGCTGCTAATCCGACCTTTGTTTCGGGCTTGTTCGCGTGGTTTATGGCACAGTCGACAAAGGTGTTGTTGAATTTCGTTGTGGAGAGGAAATGGGATTTTAGAATATTGTATGCTTCTGGAGGCATGCCTTCGTCGCACTCGGCGTTATGCATGGCTTTGACGACCTCTGTGGCTCTTTGTCATGGTGTTGCAGACTCGCTTTTTCCTGTTTGTTTGGGGTTCAGTCTCATTGTTATGTATGATGCTATTGGTGTTCGACGACATGCTGGTATGCAAGCAGAGGTAAGAAATCAATTTGGGTTCTTTCTATTGTGTATATCTATAACATATTGAATCTTTTTCTTTCGGGATGTTTGTTTTGTAAGCTGGGTTTTATTGACAGGCTTTTGTGATGATTGATTAGTGTAATATGACAGTTGAATATGATTAACAAATTGGAAGGTTGAGAGTTAATTGATAGTTAATTGATTAAGACCTTGGTTTGGTTGGTCATTCGTTGCACTTGGAACTCTTGGTCTAAATGTTGGGGTTTAAAGTAATAATGTTACATCATGAGGTAGATGATAGATTTTTCATCATTGTAGTGGAGCCATACAACCCATTATCCTCATCCAGAAATGTCTTACTTCTGAAAGCAATGAGCCATGAGAGAATTCATGACACTGAAGTGCCAAAGCGCAATTTGATATCCTTTCATTTTAATTTGATGTTTGAGTTACAGGCCTCTCTGTAATCACAAGTTAAGTTATGTTTGATAGCTCTCTCTGACTGGCCTGTTGAATGTGCAATGTATGTGAGTGATACTTTTTAGTTTTCTCTAAACAAGGTGCTATAGGATTTATGCCTGTTGTGAGAGTTAACAATTTGTGTCAGGTCCCATTGATCCTAAAAATAAAGAAGGTCCCTCATGCTTTTCTGGGTGTTTAAAAGGTGAAGAAACAGAGAAAACTATAGCTTCTGTGGTTAATGTGTCACAGAGTTTATAGGAGGGCATGTAGCATTGGGTCAGGTCTAATAACTAGGAAAATTTTCACTTCTGAATTTTCATGGAATTGAACCTAGGAAAAAAATCACAAATCTAAGGTGATATTAATGCTAAAATTTGTATGAATGAGAAGACAATCTAAATTTTGCAGCCTTGCAGTCATAATCTTTGTTGATTTTCCTTCTCATCCCAAATGGCAACCAATTTTAAATTTTGCTGGCATCTTATAAATTCTGCAAATCCTCTGTATTCTGAGCAATCGTGCAATTAGTCATCTTATAGTTCTGGTAGGTTGCTTAGTTATTTACTTGTTTCCCTTACTTGCCAAAGACCATTCTCTTTTTGGTGTGTGTGTGTGTTATTTGACTTACCGGTGTTGTATTTTGATTTTCTTGTGAATATTTGTGACTGTGATGAGACAGGTTCTTAATATAGTCGTTGAGTACTTGTTCGAAGGGCATCCCATCAGCCAAAAGAAGCTCAAGGAACTGCTTGGCCACACTCCCTCCCAGGTTATTGCTGGAGCTCTCCTCGGCATCGTAGTCGCTTGTGTTTGTTGTCAGGGAAGCTTGGTTGCTACCTGAGCTGACTTTGCAGGTAATTTTGGTCAGATTGTGTTGACACACAGACCATTCTAGTGTTGACATGTCCACAGAAATGATTGTACTCGATTTCTTCATTCAATATCAGATAGACTTTGGTTCACAAAGTTGACGACAGAAATGTTATTTTATACCTCTGAAACTGTTTAGAGCCATGCCTGGCTATGAACAGATTTGAAAAATGTATACAGAGACCCTAGACATGAAGCAAGCTTGCATAACTATCTTGCCATCCGTAGTTAGAAATTTCAGAGACTTTGCTAATTGCTTTGGAAGGTCCTAGGCCAGATAATTTGCTTTATGATGTTGCAGAATTCCAAAAATGTTGGCCAGAAATTTGCCTTCAAAGGCCTGTGCTGTAAATTTGCATGCAATTTGTATATAAGTGAATAGTTTACCACGTTGACATTTCCTCCATGGAAGTAGCTGCAAGATTATTTCCTTTTACCAATAATTCCGACCAACATGGATAAGTTTATGTATTCTACCAAGGAATCCAAATTAGCGTCATGAAAGATATAACGAAGTTAGATAAGCCCACGTGTTCCAGCTCATGTAATGCGACACCGAGGGAAGAAGATAAGGAAGTTGTAGATTCTAAATGAATAAAATAATTTCCCCAGCCTCTACTCACCATCTTACATCTTATCAATATGACTCAGTAGTAAAACTAAAATGTTATAAAAGATAGCTTCGTTTTCTAATTTATAAAGATGACGGGAGACTCGAACTTGTAATCTCTTCCAACATTATATTTCATAAATAACAATAATAAGCAATATGTCTTATATCAACGAAATTTCTGTCCGATATGTCATCAAATAATAGAATGGCAAATAACCTCGGACTCGCACTGACCAACAGGCGTTTGACCAATACATTACGGTTTGCATAGATTAATTAAACAAGACACATATAAGTCTCCAATTTTGGCTTAAATCCACCATAAGAACCATAAAGAGATTTTCCACCAGTCAAATCAAGGAGCAACAGAAAAGATTGAAGTTCAGAAACTCGCAGGAAAAAAGGGGGAGGAGAAGGTTGATTAATTTTTGTTGAGGTTGAATGGGTTGCTGCAACTCGAAGAAAGAGAGAGCCAAAGTTGGCCAAAATGCCAAACCAGCATCTGGGTTGGAGCATCCTGCTGTTCTTGCTTCCAAAACCCCCTGTGAGTTTAATTTGAACATTGATTGGAGCATCCTGCTGTTCTTGCATTCAAGTGTGGAAATCTGATGATCCATTTATGTTTTGGCATTTGGCAGTTTCTGTGAGTGAGGTGGAGTCTTTGTATGAGCTGTTTAAGAAACTCAGCAGTTCTATAGTTAAAGATGGGCTTATACACAAGGTGTGCTTAATTTCCTCCTTCTAGTGTTTTAATTCTTCTTGAAATGAATATTATGTGAATCATGTATTAATTTATAATGAACTAATTTTGGATTAATTTTGATTACTAGGAAGAGCTCCAGCTTGCACTTTTGCAAAATAGCAGTAAAAACCTCTTCTTGGACAGGGTATGTGGGCTTAATCTTGTTTTTTTTTCTTTTCATTTTCATGTACCAGAGGAAAGACTTTATGAAATGCAGCGATTTCGATTTACAGAACCTTGTTTTGGATAAAGCTCCATATGATATAGAGCTCTAATTTCATTAAGACTCTCATTCCTAAAATAATTATGTTCTGCCATGCTTTGTAGGTATTTGATCTTTTCGACGTCAATAACAATGGTCATATAGAGTTTGAAGAATTTGTTCAAACATTGAGTGTTTTCCATCCAAAAACTCCTGATGCGGTCAAAATTACATGTAAGAACTAGACTCATGATATGAATTCCCTGGTCTTTGAAATCTTCTGCCACAGTACTTTCTAACTCATATGTGGACACTAAAATGGGTATATCTGTGTGGCAGATGCTTTTAAGTTATATGATTTGAGGCACACCGGTTACATCGAGCGTGAGGAGGTAAGTACATTGGATTCTTACTTTTTGCTCTTGGTTGTTCATTGAGTTAAAAGATCTTGGGGTACAAGTTTTTCATTTTCCTGTGGACTTGATTTCTATTGAAGACAGATAGATATTCTTGATTATGCTAATTGGTTAGTCAAATTAATTAAATCGGCTTAGTTAAGACCTCATACTTATAACCTAAAAATCATCATCATGTTCTGTTTATTTTTAGTAACAAGTTTTTATGCATAAATTTGTCTCTAAATTAAGGTACTCATATAGCAGCTAACTATTTAATGAACTACAGAAAGCTAGACAATTGTAGAACCAGCACCTTACATTCTGGTCTTTGATCTAACTTTGTTTTCACAATTGAAAGAGTGATCCGGTCATCATTCATCAGCCCTGCGGATGATCACTATTTTCTGAATACAAATAATATGAAGAGAGATCAAATTTCTTAATAGTTATCTTTCATGTTCATGACTTTTGCTTTTAAGTGACATAAAGCCCCTCTGTGTTAAAACCAGTTGAAGGAGATGGTGCTTGCTCTTTTGAACGAATCTGATTTGATTCTTTCAGATGATATTGTTGAAATGATTGTGGACAAGGTATGGATTTGACTCCACTTGATAATTGCACTTCCTCCATTTTCGGTCTCGATGATCATACTTTCTTATACCAATGTCACAGACATTCATGGAAGCAGATAGAAAAGCAGATGGCAGGATTGACGAAGAAGAGTGGAAGGAATACGTAGTAGATAATCCTTCTCTATTGAAAAACATGACTCTTCCATACTTGATGTATGTTGTCCTACATTCTGCAAACCTTGTCTGGTGTTTGGAAATACACAGCTGAGCAAGTCTTGCATTTTTTAGATCATCCCCGTTTCGTATTGCACCGCAAGCATCTGCATTTAGAATGCAGATTCACTAGCCTTCAAGTTTTTGGAAAAGTGTAGAATTGTCATCTCCTTTTCTGTTTGCAGGTGTGATTTTCCTTGGATTTTAGTTTTGATATTTCCATATGCACTTTCAGGGACATATCTCTAGCATTTCCCAGCTTTGTGCTGAACTCTAAAGCATAAAAAATCCGCATTATAGACATGAAGCCAGAAATATTGCTGCATCGAATATAGAATATGGAGAAGCATACACTATCCTGTTTGGAAAAGTTTTGCTGACAAAAGATGAAAGAGGATGCTCATCACAGTAAAACAGGCAAAATGTACAGTGTAAATATAGTTTCACTGCTTGAGAGCTTCTATACTGATAGACCACCATGGACACGGAGATTCTAATTCTATGTCCTTGTTGTTCATATTTTGGTTGAATTTCACTGATTTGTAAGGTCAAAACCAAAATGTTCTCAAATGCACAGCATCATAAATACTGCAAATTCTAGAAAAGTATCATGCCCCCTTCTTTTCTGTTTTTGCTTTCCATTTTGAACCAGACTCAATCATATACAGTTTATCAACATGTCAAGTTACAAGTTACAATCAAAGATGTCTCAAGTTTGAATCTTCTCATTTTTCTCTTTTCTCGTTAATAAAAAAGAAAAAGAGCCAATCGAGAAGCCCAAAAGCAGATCTTGAACCGGCCCAACTTGCCCTTATTGTGAAGTCCAAAAAGATAATTATTCTTGATCCACCAACTTTAGCATATTCTCAAAACCTTTAACAAAAGTTAATTATTTTATTCTTTCAAAAACATTATTAAAAATAAATAAAAAAAGAGAAATTATTTTTTCATTTTTAAAAGTGCCAGTCATGGCTGGCCTGGCCCATGCCCAGTGCAAGACCAGCTTGGAGCGGGGGTTGGCAATCCAACTTTCCTACTTCTAATTCCAAAGAATTCAAAGGTATAGTTCCTAATTCTACCCAGTCCGTTTTAGAAAATCTTAATTATCATAATCAAAACATCATTACTCACGTACACGTGGCAACCCCAGATTGGACAACACACGTAATTCAGTGTTTTAACTTTTCCCACCAGATCCTGTTAACTTGGTCAGCACTCTAAAAGCTGTCGTGTAGCTTCTGAGAATGTTCCTTGCGGCAATTAAAATTAATGGAAATAATAAATGCCCAATCGTGGTCAAAATTCAACCCCACCCCTCCACTACGCATATCTCAGGCGGCTACACGCGTCTTCTCTCTCTCTGTTCTTGTCCATCTCTCCTGTTGTCTTTCAAAATTACAAACCTTAGCTGCTATACGACAAATCCTAATCGAGCACCCTTCACTTCTTCGGTTCTTCCTTCTTGGTAAGAATCGAAATCTTTGTTGATAATTTTTTACTTTTTTTTTGGATTTTTGGCAATGGTACTGTAACCCTAGTTACTGGGTTTTTGATTTTCCAATTGGTTTCTGGGTGCTCACTTCGTGTTTTTTTTATATTCCCAGGTGATGAATTTATAGGGTTTCTGCCTGGGGTGCTTTTTCCCTTTTGTTTTGGAGGGGGAGGGGTATTCAAGTTTGTTCCTTTTGCTGTATAGTTTGTGAATATTGAATCTAGGGTTTGTTTGATCATCTGGGTAGCAATCAGGTGGTGAATTTAGGATTCGGAATGGCTGCATTCTTGTAAAGTTGTGAAATTTTCGTAGGGTTTGAAAGCTCTGCATTGGTTTGAAGAGCTTTTGACCTTCTTGGAATTTTTCAAATTAAGAGCAAAATGTCGTCGGCCGGTATTGCTGCTCTTACACCGGCTCATAGTGAGCCCATGTTTTCGCAATCGTGTCTGTCATCAAATGAGTCGATTATGATATTACTCTCTGTTTCTGGATCAACTACTCCCATGAGTGTTTTGAAATCTGACTCTATTGAGTCAGTTAAGTTTAGGATCCAAACCTATAAAGGGTTTGTTGCTAAGAAGCAGAAGTTAGTTTGTGGAGGTAGGGAACTGGCTAGGAGCGATTCCATACTCCGGGAATATGGGGTAACAGATGGAAATGTTTTACATTTGGTTCTTAGGCTTTCTGACCTTCAGGAGATCAATGTTCGAACTACTTGTGGGAAAGAATTTACTTTCCACGTGGAACGTGGTAAAGATGTTGGGTATGTGAAACAAAAGATCGCCAAGAAGAGTAAAGAGTTTGTTGATCTAGAAGAGCAAGAAGTTGTGTGTGATGGAAAACTACTCAAGGATCAGAGACTTATTGATGACATATGTAAACATAATGATGCTGTCTTACATTTGTTGATTCGGAAGTCAGCAAAAGTTCGGGTCAGACCAGTTGAGAAGAACTTTGAATTGTCTGTTGTGGCATCACATTTGAATGATGGGAAAAGTTATGAAGTTGATGGAGATAATGTGAAGCGACAATATGATGTCGGTGAGCAAGACTTTAGGAGAGGTTATGAAGTTGATGAAGAAGTTGTGCCAAGAAAACCTCCTGACAGGGATTTTTTGTTCGAGCCTGTCATTGTTAACCCCAAGATTGAATTACCATCCCTGATTTGGGATATGGTTAATGAAACATCTAACGGATTAGATAGTGGGAGTTATCCAATCAGGTCCATGGACGGTACAGGAGGAGCGTATTTTATGCTCGACTCAACAGGACAAAAGTATGTATCTGTTTTTAAGCCGATTGATGAGGAGCCTATGGCTCTAAACAATCCGAGGGGGCTTCCTTTGTCACTTGATGGGGAAGGATTGAAAAAGGGAACAATAGTTGGAGAAGGAGCATTCAGGGAAGTTGCAGCTTACCTTTTGGATCACCCAAAGGGTGGGCATCGCATGCTGTCTGGTAATGCAAAGGGCTTTGCTGGGGTCCCCCCAACATTTATAGTCAAGTGCTTTCATAGTGCATTCAACCATCCCAAGGATGCAATTGTCAAGATTGGGTCCTTGCAGAAGTTCATGGAGAATAATGGAAGTTGCGAGGACATGGGCCCTGCCACTTTCCCAGTTGAGGAAGTCCATAAAATTTCTGTTTTGGATATTAGATTGGCAAATGCGGATAGGCATGCTGGAAATATATTGCTGAGCAAGGAGGGTGAAGGTAGCCAGACTGTGCTGATTCCAATTGATCACGGGTACTGCTTGCCCGAAAGTGTACGTACTGCCTTTGTTCATTTTTGCCTAACTGAGTAATTTTATGTGTGTTGCTGTGTTTGACATTTATTTTTGTTGCTGATTTTATTTTTGTTGTTCCTGCAGTTTGAAGACATTACATTTGACTGGCTGTACTGGCCACAAGCACGCAAGCCTTATGCCGATGAGGTCATTGATTACATAAAATCACTGGATGCAGAGGAAGATATCGCCCTTTTGAAGTTCCATGGATGGAACATGCCGCTTAAATGTGCTCGAACACTTCGCATTTCAACTATGCTTCTGAAGAAAGGGGTAGAGAGGCGGCTCTCTCCCTTTGCCATAGGAAGCATAATGTGCAGGAAGACCTTGAACAAGGAATCCGTCATTGAGGAGATAGTGCAAGAAGCGGAGGATTCTGTGCTTCCCGATTCAAGCGAAGATGCTTTTCTTGAGACTATATCTGAAATCATGGATTGTCGCCTTGATGAGATTGCTAGATCACCTTCTTGATGGTAATGCTACTGGATCATGTGGTGAACATAGGTATATAGGTGTATATGTCATGTGACTGACGTACATATGTTTGTATGGCAGGCTGACTAGATCTCCCCTTGCCCGTACAAACCTTTACTCTTCCAAGAATTTCGTCCTTGTTTTTTCTTTGTAGACCAAAATCCATTTCGTCTTTGTTTTTCCATTGTAGACCAAAGTCCATTCCGTATTTGTTTTTCCATTGTAGACCAAAATCCCTTCTGTTTGACATGTAGCGGAGGTCATGATTCATTTCGTGATAATTTCTCTTGCTTTTGTAATTGCACCTCAAATTTGTATTGATAATAGAAATTTCATTTGTTAGGTTTGGGATGTCTTTTTTGTCCTTTCTTTCTAGATACTGCATGTACCTAAAATGTTACAAGAGAAAACCAAATTTTGGTACATGTACAACTAAGAGGGCAGTAAATATGTGTGAATTTGTTGGCCTAAAGGAGGTATTACAGAAATACAATCCGATGATTTTGGTTTTAGGGCCAGTTTGGCATTACTGTGCTGTAAAAATAATTGCTGTCAGATTTGCTGTGAGAGAAATCAGCTGTGAGATAAAGCAGTTTGGCGTTTGGTAAAATTTTTGTTAAAAGTATTGTTGGTATTTATTTTATGCATAATCAAAAAATGATTGCCGCACAATTATTAAACTCAATGCCTCTTCGAAACTGATTTATGCATAATCAGAAAATGAAAGCACCTTATTAGCTGCTTCCCCTTATAGCTTTCTCTCACAGCAATTTTTAACAATAAATGATTTTCTCATAGTTTACCAAACGGATTGGGCTCCTCAAAATTTTAAAAAAATCACTTATCACCCCAAATAAGCAATGTCAAACTGGCACTTAGTGAGCCATCAGATATTGTGGAATATATGTTGAATTTTCCTCAAAACTAGTGGAGGAAAGGAAGCAGTGTCTCGCATTTCAGTCCTGCTGGACCTTTTTGGCCATGAAATAATAATTTATTTACTTTCATTTAAGAAACAAAGCCGATGATTCTGCTTGCATGTTGAATAAACTAGAAATTACAGTAGGGTGGTGCTAGAGGCACCAACTTTGGGCACCAACTTGGACACCAACTCTCTAATAGAGGTGGGGTTCACCAGTACACCGGGGCCCACGCTCTATTAGAGAGTTGGTGCCCAAAGTTGGTGCCTCTAGCATTTTCCATTACAGTATTACAAGAACAAAATACAGTAAGGTTGGATATTATTCACACATTAAAAGGCAAACATTGAAACTAATATCTTAAATACAAGGAGTTCAAGGGAATATCAGTTCCCAGTTCCTACGATGAGCTCCCACAACCCACAGAGCAACTGCATGGATGTGTGCAGGAATTGTATCCAGAATTAATTAGTTTTGTCTGGCTTCCCGGAGAAAGTGACCATGGTGAGGAGCTGGAACCTGTTATGGTACACCACAAACCAAATCTTCAACAGCCGCACACAAGCAGGGAATTGAGAGCTAGCTGAACTGCAATCCACCTCCAGCCTTGGGTGAGACAGAATGCAAATGAATCAGGGGCAGTAGCGGCTTTATAGTCTTTGCTACCACCAAACAGAAGCAGTTTCTTGCCACAATGACTCGGGTTAAAAGGTGGCTTGAAAGGTCAATGGCTTGCACCAAAGTCATGGATCTCCGAATGCTTGCAGAGAGTTTGCCCAGCATTTGCATAAGAACGTGGAGTACACATCCAAAGCCTCCATTACCATGAACTGGTCATATGGTTGATTATCGCTGTCTCTCGGAGTATGAATGAACAAGCATCACCTTTCTTTCTTGCTAGGCTTGTTCAGCGTCTGCTTTGATCTTTTTCTGCAATCAATCAAACAACAATACGTAAGAAATGTGCCTACGATGAAAATAGAACACAAAGATAAAGCAACGCATATGGAATCTACCTCTTAGCAGGTTTGCCACCGAATCCAATTGCACCCTTCATCGTTTGCTTCGATCTTGTTCTGAAATCAAGACAAACCAAGATACAAAACGTGACTACCTCAAAAAAGAATGCAATGATTTTTGTGTGCCACATGCCAGGTAAATTATGAAACTACCTCTTAGTGGGTTTGCCGCTGAAACCAAATACACCCTTCATCAACGAGCTTATGTCCATAGAACGCTCCTGCATGATCTTATCATGGTATATTTTGCTCCCGATCTCAGTGATCTGTTCCTCCACTTCTTCCAAAATTTGGTCCACATTGAGCTGAACCTCTCCTTTCCTAATGACAGTTACACCGAAGCCATTTGCTTTGGCCTCCCGAAAAACATCCTTGAGGGGAGATAAGAGACAGTTCAGATAAATACGCCAAGCACCTCAACAGATCAAGAAAAATTGGACTAAAAACAACTAGATAGAAAGAGCACAATAAACCAGCAGTGAGTAACATGTGAAGGTCATAGAGCACCAGATCTTGAGTCTCTTGACTTAAAAGGAAAACATTACAAGTCACGTACGTGGAAAGAATCAGTTATGTTCCACCTAAGTGGCCTCTCTTGGGATATGATAATTTACTAAGACCATAAATTGCATGGCAGTTTCCAACAACTGCAACTGAAAAATGATGATCTGCTTGAAAACTTAAATTCCGCATTATTTACCTTAGGTGGCTGGGCAACAACAAAGGCATGGCCATTCCCAAACATATCCATTTGAGCCTGGATGATATAACCAAGATTTTTGCAATCATTAGTGTCCTCGAAAGCAATAACATGATACGGCTTTGGTTCCAATTCAAGATCTGCAGCCATCTCCAACGAGTAAAATCCTATCCTTTGTTCTTCATTATCAACTGTGTACAACTCGATGCACTGGGAAATCAAGAGAGAATTAACCATTGGTTGAGTATTTTCTGTGTAATCTGGGAAAATATCTAACATCAAACTAAAAATCAAGAAGCATGGTTAGAAAACAAATAGTTGGGGATAAGGATGAGATGTTTGAAACCCAGGACCTCCTGGAACTTTTGATGCCATGTGTTAGAACCAGTAAACTCCAACAACATAAACCATCAGGAAAAGAACTAACAATGTAAATCAAGCTAAAACAAAATAGCAGAAAAGTAAAAACGCATGTATAGCTTACCAGCACATAAGGAAGATCTAACCACCACAAGTAATCTTCTTTCTTATCTTCTGCATATTCACGGTATTTGCTCACTACAGCTTGTGGGCCAAACAATTCCATCTCTCTTTTAAGCTTGCTGAGTTTCTTTTCCATGAATTTCTTGTTTTTTTCAGGCATTTTGTTCATCAGATCAGCAGCTTCCTGTATTTCTTTTTCTGTGATCCATCGATCCAAACCCTTCCCCATGTCCCTCATTGTGGCTTTAATTTCTGGGTCGGTCTCTGCATTGTAGGATTCCAAAAACCCCTGGGACCATTTTTTTGTGTGTTGCCAAAACTCCTTCCCTGATTTTTTGCCAGCTCTAACAGAACCATCACTCCCTTCTATAACTATCTTTGAATTTCTATTATCCTTCTTATTTGGGTCACTGACTACGGAAGAAGTGGCAATATTCTCATGGGATTGGGATTCTATTGATTTCTGAAGAATTTTCTGCTCATCTTTTTTCACTGAAATCCCATCATTTCCAGCAAAAATTGCGTTGCGCTGCTCTTGGAAATAATTCAAAAACTCTGGACTCTTTTCTAAAGGGGGGCCTTTCCATCGTGGTATAATTTTTTCTGGTGGATCATACAAGCTGATACCCTCTACATGGAAAGCAAAAGTTTTTATTAGCCCAAGCACTTTGAAATCAGAAATCTCACATTTACGCATTCATATTTAAAAAATAAAATAAAAAAATTTACATCTGCCTCGATGATGAAAAGTGGATCAATATATATGAGCCTAAGAAAGATTAATTACCTGCACCATAATCGAGATTTTCAATGTTTGAGTGGAGCCACTCGTGCAGTTTCGACAGCTTTTTATTCTCTTTCTCAACTTTCTTCTCAAGACCCTTGAAGAATGCATCCTTATCTTCAGAATCCATCATATAAAACGGATCCTGCCCTCCCAACTCATTTTCTCGGACTTGAAGAACAATTTCCCTGAGACTGTCATCTTTCATCCATTCAAGTTCACTGTCATCTTCTTCATTAGACCCAAGCTGTGTCATCTCAGAACTCATACTTGATTGTTGATCTCCCTTTTCTCTTGAAACCATGTAATTATCTCTAAAACCAACTCCAATCTTCTTAGCTATAGGTTCAAATTCATTGAAGTTTTCCTCCATCCAGTTCTCATATTTTACAGATGGCTCTGTAATTGAATCACTGTCATTACTTTCATGATCTAAAGAAACCTGTTGCTTTTGAACATCGTCCCTGATGTATGTTTTCTCAGTTTCATCAGGTTTATCATTCTTTTTATCATCAAATTTCTTATCCTTCAGATCACAATGTTCACATGCATTTTCCCTAGATGGAGAACCTGATGCCCTGTCTGGAACTTCAGGTGCAAATATATTATTAACCATGACCGGTCCCTGACTCACATTGTTGCCAGAGTCTTCATCACTTTCTAGCCGTACAAGAGCATCACTTCCTGTGACAGGTTCAAACTGGGGCTCTTCATTAAGCTTTATTTTGTCACGGGTTTTAGATAGGTACTCCCTAGCTTCTTTCACAGACCTTATGACCCTTGGTTTTACTTGGATAGAACTATTTTTGGGCTTGTTGGACTCCCTAAAAGGAGAATCATCTGTTAAGTGTAAATTATGTTCACTGCCTCTTACATCCTGGTTAGTGCTTTGCCTATCATCTGAAACTTCTATATGCGGAATACTAGAAGTTTGAATATCCCCATCCTTAGAATAGTCTAACTTTTCAAGAGATGCAGTATCACCACTACCCTTAGTTTGTCTGCAATCTCCATTTAAAGGGTTGGTCAGAGTATTTGCTCCCTCTTCTTCATGCTGTTTGACAACTTTGATTTCATCCAAAATTTCATCATGCACAATTTCATCTGAAAGTTCATCATTCACAGTTTCATCTGATATTTCTTCATTCACAGTCTGAATTTCTTTTCTATCCGTACCAACCAAAGAATGTTCCCTACCCTCAATTTCACGCGCTTGCCTGGCCATATTTCTGATTTCCTGAACTTTATCATCAAAATCAGTATTTTCGGCAACAATCATGGAAGTTGAAGAATCTTGCAAAGCCAGGTTGCCATTTGACAAGTTTTCTCTCATAATAGCCTTCATAAGTTCTTGCTTATCAATGCTAGGCTTTTTAAAGGGACCCAGTGGCAATTCTGAAGATGCTTGAACAACTTCCACGCTGCCCTTCTCTAACATCTCTTTCTCCTTTCTTGATTTAATCTTTCTCCTCATCATTTCCTTCTCCAACTCTGAGTACCGTTCTTCTTTATTTCCAAAACTGAATAACTTCTTCAATGCCCACAATGCAATGAAACCATACAACACCAGTCTCCCAAATCTAGATATCTTCGGCAAGAACTCTGGTCGAAAACTAAAACCCTGAATTGCCTTCATAAAACCCGAGTCCTCACCCTCAACAACAAACTTGGCTACCGAACTATTCCTCGGAATCACATTTTTCCCACTCTCCATCTCTCTAGCCAAACTCTCTGCTTGCAAAATTTTCAAGTTCACCTCTGCCGAGTCCTCCAATTCCAGTCTCTCAATTCGGCTTCTTCTCAAGATTTCATCCTCATCAACCGAAACCACTTTAACATTACCATCAGAATCTTGATTAACAGTAAAAATATGACCAGAACCAATACCCCAATACTCGGTATCTCTCTTATACTGCTCCATCCAACTATCCAATTTACTCAAAAAAACAGAATCACCAAGGTTTTTTGCATTTGGTTCTTTTACATCACTCGTTTCAGCTATACTACTATCATCAGCAACAACCTCATTACTAAATTCACTCTCTTTCACACTATCATAGTTCACTTTCTCTAAGGGACTCTCGGTATCATCAAAATTATTATTCAAAAACTGAAAATCAGAAATTGGGTTTAAAGGAACGGAAATCTGGTTCACCTTTTGCTCGTCAATGAGCTTCTTCCTCAGCGAATTTCTTCGGCTCATGGGTCGACCAAAGTGTGCTAAAGCTCGAAACTTTGTGCTATGACATGAGAGTAAATAGATCGAAAATGATGGGTTTTTGTGGAACCCAAAGCTGGGAATGTTGTATCTACATGGGTTTTTCTTTTTCCAAGACTTGGCGGGAAAATTGGCAGGGAAAGGTGAATTTAGAGAGAGAATTTTGCTGTTGGTTGGGGTCGAAGAATAAAAAACCTCCATGGATGAAGATAGAGAGGAGGCTACATAGAGCAACTCTCATTCAGAGCTTTTCGGAGATTTTGGGGAGGTTTCTGAGTATTTTACTCGTTGGTGGTCGATAATATATAATCTACCTGTCGTTCCAAGGAGAACGACACTATAAAATAAGTCGTTCTAATTACAAAATTTTCACTCAACTACACCCCTAAGATTTATGGTGTTTTGATAACTCTAGTTCAAGTAATCCAATCCAATTGTTTGTATTAAAAGTGGAGAGTATTTTTGCTCACCACTTTAACTCAATGTGTACTACATTACCACTTTTATCAATACTTAACACGTATCAATTAGTATTATTTTTTCCGGTTCTATAAATTGAGCAATGACACTAAATTTTATATTTTTGAATTTATTTTCGGCAACTTTATTTTATATATAAGCAAATTTTAATATATATAACTTAAAGAATTCGATATTAGCAAATTTGGTGTGTATGATTGCAGGTGTAGACTCAATAAAAAGGTATGTTGTAGAAGAAAAAAAAACTAATAGAATAATAAAAGAAAGATAAAAGGTGGATTTTAGTTGACCTTACAATAGGAAAGTAGAGAGTAATAATTTTCTTTATTACTGACATGGAATACACAAAGATTTACATTCCCGATTTACTACATATATTTATCTCAATCACATCCGATCATGTCATTACCATATATTTAGTATTATTCTTTTAAGGTTACCCTAAACTTCATCCCATATATATAGGTTACACCAAAACCCCAAATCGCAAACCTTTGATCCCATCCCACCACCCTATAAACATTCAACCTCTCAAGTTTTAGACCTCCAAACAAAGAAGCAAATCATGGCATCGTCAACACTCATATTCTCCCTCATTGCCCTAATTTTAATCATCACCACCATCCCTCACTCCATGTCTTCTCCTGTCCAAGGTTTCGCTGCACGTCTCATCCACCGCGACTCCCCCGAATCCCCGCTCTACAACCCCGCGGCCACACGTGCTCATCTTGCGCAATCAACTCGCCGCAGAACCATAGCCCGACAAAACTACTTCAACCGCCTTATGTCGTCCGGTAACAAATGGGGCAGCAGCCTCATCAGTGCAACCCTTGGCCAGGGCCACGGAGACTTCATCATGCAGTACAAAATCGGCACCCCGAGAGTGGACACCTTCGGCATCTTCGACACGGGCAGCTCCTTGATCTGGATGCAGTGCGAGCCCTGCCAGAAATGTTACATGCAAACCATACCAATATACGATCCTGCAAAGTCTGAAAGCTACCAAAAGGTCAAGTGCGGCTCTGTCGAATGCAGCACAACCGCATACACCTCATGCACTGAAGATGGTGAATGCAAGTACAGGATAGGGTATCAAGACGGGTCATTAACAGAAGGGGATATCGCCACAGAAACCCTAATGCTTGAAGACGACGGGTTAAGCGGCAACGTCAACTTATCGAACATGGTAATTGGATGCGGCCACTACAATGTAGACACCGTGGAAGACTATAGCCCAGGAGTTGTAGGTCTCAGCAGAGAACCTTCTTCCCTGGTCGGGCAGATTGGGTTTCGCCACGTGTCGTATTGCATCCCATCGGAGGACAAAGGCAACTGGAGCTCTGTGAAAATCGGCCTCCCGGCGGTGATCACTGAGGAGAATACTCAAACACCTATGCTGAGCGGCAAAGGTGGCTTGTACTATCTGAGTCTAGAAGGCATCAGCGTCGACGGCGCCAGGCTCAACATTCCGAGGTCGGTTTTTGACATGACGCCGGAGGGAGACGGCGGCGTGATCATGGATTCCGGCACGTCTTTTACTTTGATTGCACCGGAGGGTTTTGGTGCAGTGAAGCAAGCGGTGCTGGATGCTTTGTCGGAATTCAAGCCGGTAGAAGATTCGGATAAGCTCTATCCGTTTTGCTACGATGATGGTAGGTTTAAACTAGAGACGACGCCGGGAATCGTGTTCCATTTCACGAGGCTGGATTTTCCTCTGGCCGCGGGAAACACTTGGATCAGGAATTCTCAGGGACACTTCTGCTTGGCCATAAGAGAGAGTGTTGGAAATTTTAATATCTTTGGGTTGTACCAGCACAGGAACGCTAATGTTGGGTTTGACTTCAACAACAACATTGTGTCCTTGAAGTATACTGACTGCCAATAAAATCAATAGGACAGTCTGGTTTTAGGAACTCTTTTTTTTATTTTTTTTATTTTGATGATACAAACGAGATATATTGGGGGAGGGGGGGTAATCAAACCTAGTTATCTTTGGGTTTGCATAGTTTTGATGTTGCGCCTTCTTCTCTTGAGCATATTTTGGATGATGATAGCTTAAGACGGGCTTTGCCTCGAAATGTTTTTTTGTTAGTTTTTCTTTGCTTTTGGGCCTCACCATGTAACCAAGTAAATTTGGCTTATACCCTTCAAATTCAACTTACCACCTGATATCCTTCACTTTTTGTTCTTATAAATAATACCCAATTTTTATAAGTAAAAACCCATGACTAGGATCCAACTCATTAAGTTACTTTATTAAGCTCGATAATAATCTATCTATTTTAGAACTTGGATTTCATTTATTGTACCTATTTTTTTGGTGGATAGTAATCTACCTATTAGTTTTTTTTAATAAATTATTGTGTATCTATATTTTCTATAAATTATTGTGTACCTATTTTTCTGTAAAAATCTGCCTATTTATTTTTAAAAATTATTGTGTATCTATATTTTCTATAAATTATTGTGTACTAAAAGAAATGGGGTGATTGATATGCTATTAATAGAAAGTATTAATTACAATTATGGCAATTAATGAAATACTTAAAATAAATTATAAATAAAATATAAAGTCTGGTGGTAACGATGTAAAAACATAAGAATATTATGACCTCTTATATCATACTGGTCATTTAAATTTGAAATTGGGTTTTACACATAAATTTATAGAGTGATGGGTATATGTCTAGGAAATAAAAAATATGGGGGCCTATATTGGACAAAGGATACCAATAACTGCGACTAAGCTTAAAATTTTGGTACAATTAGGTTAATGTCGGAGGGACGAACAAATAGTCGCAGCTCATCTATAGTTTTATTATATAATATGAAGAATGAACAATCACAACCAAAGATCAGAAGCTCATTCCCTACCATCAGTATCTGGAAGATATCAGCATTTTCCAATTTCAGTCTCGATTAGTTTACAAGATTGAATGGCCAATTCTCCTCTGGACCCTCGATTTTTTTATGGTCTCTTTCGGGACTGAAGAACCTTTTGTGGTTGGTAGGTGATGAGTTTAAGTTTTCACAGAAAAAAGAATCAAACTGAAACCTTACAACAGACAATACATATATATTTCAGGGTCTTGCTTTGCAGCCATCAACACAGCAGAAGTTTGGCTCTCTTGGTAGATACAAGTCCTTTGCCAACCTGGTCTGCGCCGCTACTGCACAGTACCATCATCTTCTGATGATCATGTGGATCAAAGAGAAGATACTGATTATGGATCGCATCAAACAGTTGTTTGAGCTACGAGATCATTGGCAACAACCACATGTTACAGCAGTGCAAGCATTCATCATCAACGGCCATGATGGAAACCACCACAGGTGCAAGATTGAGTGGTCGTTTGTCTCTGATCCGGTTGAGGGCTGGAGACTTGAAGATTTCATATCTTATCTTCACTCGTCTCCAACTCATAGCAAACAAAGATGGAGCATGCTTTTCTATTATTTTCATTATTTGGGTTTCATTTGATTCAAAATTGAGCTTTGTATTACAAAGAAAAGTCAAGCAATGCCAAAGACAAGGAGTAATTTCCTGTTGAGTAATGTACATTCTGGAATAAAAGTTTACTGTTTTATATGTATTTGACAATGATAAATATTTGAAGAATTTACCAAGTAAAGAAACAGATACCCCAGGATCTACCTGTCTCACCCCACTGCTTTATCACTCAATTTAAACCACAAATGATACGTGGTACTTCACAAACTTTAGCCCCTGCAAATGTGTAAAAACACTTATCAAGGTTGAGGGGACAAAGGCTTAGCTTAAAATTTAGCCCCTGAAGACAAAGGCTTAGTTTAAAATTTAGGAACTAAAGAGAACCGCCTGCCAAGATTTGTATCCGTATAATTTTCCCTTAGTTTTTCCTTTACAAGATTGAGCATAGGACCTACTTCTGTGTCTCAGCCACTGCTTTATAACTCAAGTTAAACCGCAATGGCATGAAGCATTGCTTTTATGTTATGTCATTGAGCAGAGTTTTTGTTAGAAATTATAGGCAACCACTCTGTTGGTTAATCTTATGCTAATCGTAGATTGTAACTAAAATCCCATCAATGACAGAAGTTTCGTATTTCAGCTAAGAGTATATCTGGAAGCATAACAGATATAGAAACTAAAGCTTCCAGCATTGAAACATTTTAAATCAATGAAAGAATCCTTTAACATCTGCATTCACTAATAACATTAAGATAATGTTTAGCACACAGATGAGATAAAAAGATATCCAACCAGGCTAACTACATAGAGGTATGCAGGTACCACCTTCTGGGTTCTGCTGTTCCTTCCATATCCGTCCTGTGACTCGCAGCTTCAGCTCTTTCCTATCCCCTCCAGAGAAGAAAAGTGCCATGTTGCGCTGTATTATGAGGCCATCATGGCTGTCTCTAACCTTCTTGTGGCTATCCCTTATGCTTCTTGGATTGCCCTCCCAAATGAGCTTTCGGCCATTTCCTCCAACCTCCAGGCTGTAGGTGTAGTTCCGAGCTTCTGTTTCATCACCCATGAACCGGAGAAATGCCATGTAAACAGGACCCATACCAAGCTGGAATGCTTCAAAATGGAGACAAAAGTACTGACCAAAACAGTGGAAGACCTATCAAGGTTGAAAAATAAGACAAATTACTTTGCTATCATAAAGATCAAAGCATAAATCTTGAATCTGCAACATAGTCATAATTCATCTAGTTTCAAATATTGATATCAACGGTCCCATGATTGCCATAGTCCCATCTTAATAGGGAAAGTTGAACCACTAAGCTAAAGTGAGAATATTTTCAACGGTTCATAATGCAATTCCTGCGGTAACTTAACACTAATGCCCCCATATTGAGAACTCAGGGTTTCTTGATTTATGCAACCTCTACCTAATAATGGATCCAATTCTTGTCAAGACCGAGACAGCTCAAGTCAAAATCTAGTGTAAACCAACTAAGCATTAATAAGGTTTCTATTCATCAAATTCTACCTTGTCAACCTTTCATTTACAGTCACAAGTTTTAACAGCCAATGAAATACATATATACTTACAGTTAACATCCACGTGGCATTTTCTACTTCACGAGGATTAGACTTGACATAACGATGGTTAAAAGTGCATCCAGAATGCATGTCCACTTTGTGATCATCCCGTAGATGAGTAACAAGGAATGGAATATCCCCAACAGCAGAGCAATCAGATCCAGCATATGGACAGTTGTATGGCCTGAAGTTGCAGACAGCCTCGTGTTTAAGTTTACTGTAATAGGGGAAGATCTCTGGGCACCCAAGAGAGCAGTACTTGCAAGGCAGTTCAAGAGATTCAGCAACCTTTTCCAGTGCTAGGCACCTTATGTCACCAAGCTCTTGTCTACAAGTTGGGCACCGGTTATGGACCCTTGTTTTACAGGTGGAGCAAAGGGTATGCCCATTGTGACACTGCAGAAATAAAAGTTTAAGATTTATAAACCATAATGGTCAACCAATCAAAAATGAATTTTACAAGCAGCTACATATTAGAACATTGCCCATGCTTAGCCATTCCAAATAAATCTAAGGGTAGTGATTCATTGAGCATCCCTTGATTTCAATAAGCACAATATCCAAGATATAAGGTAACTACTCATTCAAACTAAAGGAAGACGCATCTGGAACTCAGAAAACTCACATCTTCAAACACATGTCACAACACTTAAAATAAACACATATGATGGTTTACACCTTCAAAAAAATGTCATGTGAACCTATACAGCCGTGAGAGATGTGACAGTACATGGAGAGAGAGAGTACATAGGTCTCTACTCCATTTGAATTAAGAGCACTCCGCAAATTCAAACAAACAACTGATAACTTTCATCTGGAACAGCACTAAAAGGATTTTTGAATAAATAATATGAACTCGGAGCACCCAAATTTCAAACCAAATATTCCAGAAATAAAGCATCTTAAAGACCTCTAACCATTCTTGGCCACCTGGTAATACTCTTCACTTCACAAACCAAGTGGTAAACATGTTCTGAACAACATATTCACCAACCCCAGGTATTCCCTTGGCCACCTGGTAATACTCAATCTCTTCATCCAAATTACCAAAGCTCCTAATTGTTAGTATTCCCTTTCCAAACCAAGTGATACATATCCTCGACTATATGCTCACCAAGCCCAGGTATCCCAACACATAAACACGATCTTTCAATGAAATTTGTTGACTTTTGTACTCTATGATTCCCGTTACTATGAACTCTAGAAACACACTTCAATTGAACTAAATATTCAAAACCTTTGATGCTGATCACTTTATCACAAAACAAAGTCAAACCAAACAAGAGCATTGTTGTAAATTGTTGTTTGGCTAAACAAATTATAGGATTCCAATTACAACTCTGCTTTATAACAAATATCAGAAACTAATACTATCTTCTACCCTCTATTCCCTCACTGTCCAATCCAAAAATCTTACAAACCTAAACCCCAGAAACAAAATCCCCCCATAGAATTAAATCCCACAAACAAATAATCAATTTAATACAGCCTTCCAGCCTTAACCCCAAACCAAGCCAGTTCAACTGCACCACAAAAATTCAAAATCTTCAAAAACCAGCCACTCACAAATAAAAATATACCTACTCAATGCAAGAAAATTGAACAAACCAAGAGAGGCAAAAGCAGAAAACAACCCATTGAGCAAAATGCAAATAAAGGCGAACCTGATGGATTGGAGGGTACATTGAATTGGTGCAAACAGGGCATTCAAGAAGTTCATGGACACTGGTAGTGCCGGGAATGTTAATGCTATTGTTGTGAGGTTTTGGAACTGAAACAAAGTGGTGAGGACGGCCATGGATCTCATCCTCGTCCATCAAATCCAAAGATGTCACACTTTCAATGCCATCTGATTCCATTCATGCAGGGGAAACCAAAACCCCAAAAAAGAATTTGGAAGGCAAAAAAGAAATCAAAATTTGGGCAATGTATATGATATGATTGCTACTGTACAAAGCGAAAGATGACGAAAGAAGAGAAAGAAAACATCAAATCTTTCGATTCTTGACAGATGGGTATGATCCGTCTATACGCAATTCTACAAAATTGAACAAGGAAATGGTAGGAAAACGGGAAATTTTCGATTGCTGTGTGTATAATAAGAAACAAAAAAATATTTTTCCTCAAAAGGGGTGCTTTTTCTTCGTTGGTTTTACAGATAGAGAGAGAGAGAGAAAGAGATGGGTCACCGTCCAGATAATATCAGCCGTCAGATTACCATCAGACGGGTTTCATGTTCTGAAGAAAAGATTCAGTTAAGGGTTTTTCCATGGCAATTTGATTGGTTTATAGAGGGGGGAGTGGGGTAATTCGGGATTAGGATTTTTTTTTTTTTTTTTTTTTTTTTTTTTTTTTTTTAACTTGATTTTGATTGTTATTAGCTGTTGTTTTGTTACTGTGTAATTATTGGGCTTTGTTTTAACCAGTTTTCTTTGTGAGTTGGGGGAGAGAGAATGAGATGGCTCTCTCTCTCTGCTGTATGCGATGCACATTATTGTTTTTATTTTTATTTTTTATTAATAACCAATTATGATGAGGGGATATGCTTACCATTTGTCCCAAGGTGGGTCCTCATTTTATTTTTTTCCCAAATGTGGGTCCTATTTTATCCTTACAAAACCTGCACACTTGCCTGAGGCATTTTTACTATAAATTTATAGGTAGGTTTTGGTATGATCAGATTGTTTTCACATTTTGTTGAGAGAGGAAAGTTGGACCCTTCTTTGTGATCGCAAGAAAAGTTTGACTTTGGGGGATTTTTCACAATCCTTTAGGTCGACACAAGTTTCACCTTGTCTGTTGGTTACGTGGTTTTGGATATTTTGAGTAGATTCAAGTTGATTTGGATTGGAATGTTCTGGGTTAAATTCCTATGCACAACTTCGTTGGTTCATTAGGTTAAGAGCTAATTGGATATTATACACTTAAGGATTAAAATTTATGTTTTTCATGGAAAGAAAGAGTATTTCTTTCTTTGATCCATGACAGGAGTTATTCGATCTTAGAACCTCTTCTAACATTGAGAAAAAATATACCACTAGATTAAGAGTTAGTTAGTATAAACCGAATAATTCGAACGTTCAAAAAGTATGAATAGTTTTCTTTTATTTTTAATGAAGGCAAATGAAAACATGAAAATATGCACTACTGTACATGTATACAATAGCAACACAGAAAGAAAAAAAACAAGGATCTGTGATCGTTCAATATAAACTCTACCTCAATTCAAACAGGGCTTACACGTAGAAGCTATGCCCTTCACTCGTTCAACATCTATCTTCAAATTCAAAGTGTGAACAAAAGAATTACTCCTCCAGATGTAAAGCTTAATGTGCCTAATAATTCAAGGGTGGTGAATTTAACAGCTACACCATGGATACCATTAGTTATGCCTTCAAGCAATTAAGTCATTTACATTTTAAGTTGAATCTTTCTTTTACTTAAGAGAATCCAACGTACCTTGCACGGGGGACACACACTCACACACCACTTTGTGATCATTTTTTATACAAATTTCTTGATAGCAAAGCAATGATGTTTACTTCCCATTTGAAAAACATAAATAAAAACTTAGTGAGGCAAAGGTGACTTGGACGTCTCTAGTTTCATAAGCATTCATGACGTTATCAAATCAAAATTTATTATATTATTTAGGACATATTATTTTAATAAAAATTATCTATTTCACCTAATCAACGGTTCTGATTCATAGTCGGACAACGCAATATCTCGAATTATTTGGCTAGAAAGCATTTACAAATGCTTCTCTCAGAATGTTTACCTTGCTTCACATCATCCCTAAGAACTTCTTTATTTGTTACTTCTGGTCATGGGATAAGACAAATGCATGATGCACATCATGGTTTTAAAAAGTAACATTAATAATAGCATAAAAGATGACTTGATCCCAACGTTACTAACATTAATGCGTCATTTTGTGCCACAAGTAGCCATCTAAAAAGTAGTTGAAATTGAAACCTAAAGTTCAGCTATTCAGCCTTATCTCTTTTGTTATGATTCTTTGTCTGTGGATAGCATAACCAAATTGAAACTCATATAGCTGTAATTGTCAATGATTCAACAACAGCCAAAGGAAGCAACAAAACTTACAAGGTGATGATGAGAGTAGCAGAATATGGAGATTCAGAAGCCTTTTCCCCACCTTCAGCAATTACTTCCAACTTCTTATTTATTCACCTCCCTTTTATGCATACATTTCGAAAGAATTAAATTACGAAAAATTAACATATGTTACAAAACCGGCAAAACACGATTTACAAAAACCAAACGAATCAATCAGTAACACTCTTCAGTAGACAGGAAAGTGGAATCTGGTCTATCCCATTGCATTGCACCACCAACTGCTCATTTTTCGATCAGGCTATTAATTCTCTCAATTAGACCACAACAACAGAAAGAAAGTGTCCAGTTACCACTGATTCGGGAAGGCTTCTCTGTAATTTGCATCCTCGCCCAATGTAAGCTGTCTTACAGTGGCAGCACTTGCACGAGTATTTAAAAGCCTCTGAGCTAATCTGTCTTTTGGTGTCTCTTTCTTCTGCAGCATTGAGGCAAGGGCTTTCTTTTTGTTTCTGGATGATCGGTTCTCACCATTAGTTGCCACCCAATCTTCTCCAATATCCGCAGATCTAGAAGTTGAAGCCATTGCAGCATCACGTAAAACTGCTTCATTGTGTTCTCGTATTTTTGCAAGCTTTGCACGCTTCAGTGACTTTTTATCTATTTCTCTCTTCCTTGCCAACTCTTTATCTTTCTCACGAACATTCGTCACGGCTTGTTTCACTAACTGTTCCACTATATCGGTGCCTAAATCAGGAGTTTTCTCATCTTTTGAAGGGTTCTGATTGAGTGGCTTTCCCTCATCATCTCTGGGTATAATAGGTCCATGAAATGGGCAAGTTCTCAAATCTCTTCTCTGACAAAGTTCTCCTTTGCTTAGAGGAGCTCGGCATGGTTGAATTTCAACCTGCTGCTCTTTGTATAGAGTAGTCTGAAGATTTAATTCCGCAATCTTTTCTGCTGGAATAACTGCGTCCTGATCCACCCTGCCCCAATGACTTTCAAGCTCCAATCCCCGATGGTTAGCCAATACATCCCTCTTTGAACCCCAGTTGTCCAAATAAGAGCCCCAATTCACCTCTGGAGCTTCAGCCAAAAGCTTACTCCTCAAAGGGTCTGAATTGGTTGCTCCATCTTTACGACTGAGCCTTTTATTGCCGTCTCTCTCATTAGCATGGCATTCAGGAACTCTGTCCAGCACCTCCTTGGAAGTTGATGCCACTGAATCTTCAGTTCTGTTATTGGGAATACTATACCTCTTACTCTCAATTGATCCAATCTTGCCTTCCTCCCAAAAATCTTCTTCTTCGTGATTTGTAGTGTTTGGAATAGCACAACCCGATTCTTCACACTTCTTCTTCACTGATTGAATATGATTCCGGATATCAATGAACTCCTTCAAATAGGAATCTCTGGCCCTGTTATCAGTCAGTTCAACCCTTACAAGAACAGAGATCCATTCTTGCACTGCAACCAAATGCTTCATTACCAATAGCTTGTAAAGCTCTCTCAGTGCATCAAAAACTACTTTGTTTTCACTGTTCTCATGAATTTTATCTGCTTCTTCCAATGAATGTAAGCGCAGCTGCCGGAACTCATAAGAATGAAACTCTTCCATATCTTCATCATCTAAAGGACACAATAGCTCACGTTCCTCTTTAGCACGTACAATTTCTAAACACTCCCCAATCTCATCAGCCGTTGACTGTATTTCTTCCTTTATTGATGCAAAATTATTTTTCAAAGTCTCAAACTTGTTCAATAAGATCTCTTTCGACTTCCTCTCCCTTTCCCTTCTTTCCTGATGAAGCCGAGCCGCATTTGCCTGTAGATTTGGGAATTGATACTTAAGCGTGTTTTTAAGGTAATCAAATCCTAATCTAATCTGCCTATAATGTATCCCAAATGAACCATTCCACTTCTCCAAAAACTCAATTGCCTTCGAACGCAGAGCAGTCGCAACATTTGTCGGACCTGGGAGTGGCGAATTGTTTCTAAATCCGACACTCAAAGTCAATAACTGATCCAAACTCTCCACAACAAGGGTTCTAAAAAGCTTTGACCTCATAAAAAGCTCATCGATTATAAGAAGTGTGAGGTACCGGACCTGCAAAATTTTTACTTTAGCAAAAACTTCTTCTCTCCCAAAAATCATCATACAGAAGCAATATAAAACCCTACAATTTTAACACACATCAAACAAAAATTTCCAACAAAATTGAATAGCAGAGTGATGGAGCATAACATACTATCCAAGGTTATATCTTTATTTCCTTCAAATTTCAGCAAAATGAAAAGGCAAAAGAAATCCAATTTGACTACCTCTCGAATTGTGAATCGCAATTCTTTCCTTCTAAATTTTCTCCGAAACTAAACATAAGGTAAAATAAATAAACCCTAGCCAAAATACACTACATAAATTTCAAACAGAAACACAGAACTGAAACTAAAGATCAATTCTTTTATCGAAGAAAGAGAAATTATATAAATACAAAGGACCTGAGAGTGCTCGCGCTTCATAAGATCCATGAGAATATGGGCGGCGAGTCGGAGCTCCGAATCCGAGCGGCGTACCACCGACTTGATGGCCTTGAGGAGGCGCGGGTCTACCTCTGGTTCGGTCGAGGTCGTCGCCTTCTCTATCAAAACCCTCACCTTCCCTCCTCCCTCTTCTTCCATTTTTCAATTCAGCGAGAAAAACAGCCTCTTTGAATTTTCAAAATTTTAGGATAATATATAGTCTGTCTTTTGGGGTATTTTCGCGCTGAGCAAGGAAGGGGTGAAATGTCAAAATCTGAAAGTTATGAGGGACGCAAAAGATAAATGGTCTTTGCTATAAAAGGCCCCAATAAAATGAGAGGTAAATTAACCCAATTAAATGAAAAAGAAAAATAATATTAATAAATAAAAATATAAAGAGAAAAATTGTCATAAAATTTATTATTAATTAAATTATTTTTTTATTACTATAAAAAAATTTATTTTGTTCTAATTTTCAACTTCAATTTCTTTCTTTTTTCTTAGAATGCACATAATTAAAACACAACGATAAATTTTTCAAAATAGGCCTCCTTCACCAAACCTTCTATGAAACCGCCAACTAGTGATTATAGCCCATTCCAAATCCAAGCCCAAAAAATCGATAACGAAAAAAAACCAATCCCCACAATGTATTTCCAATTTCAATATGTTTTCCATATGACGGTGCGATTAACACTGAAAAATTTATCAAAGTGGACATAGAATTGATTTAGTATCAGGTGGTGTTTTGTTTCTAAAAGTTTATAATTTACATATATAAATTAAGTCAGTTAATTAGGACAGTGAACTCTCCACTTTTACCAAGTTGGAGTCCTACTCTTCATAAATGGTTTAGATAGTTTAGCACCCAAAATTAAATAATTTATGCAGGAGATTACTTGGTTGACTCAGCAAAGATGGGATCATATACTCATTGATGTATGGCACATGGACGTCCAATGGCCACATGTGTTGGGGACAGGATATTAGGATGTAGGTTCCTCTCTTGTTCTTCCACGTGTCTAATTTAATAAACAATATCTGAAAACCAATAAAATATAAAGCATTATTCACTTTTCTTCTAGATCTTCATGAATTCTCATTTGGTCCAAAATAATACAAACCCTTGTCCGAAATCTCTCAACATTGTCCGTGGACCATCCATGATGATGGTATTCAAGCAAAAGCAAGCCATGTGCATACATATGTTCTTATTTAGCCATCTCTTCCTAGATCAAATTATCTGGTTAGATGGTTTATGCTACACTTTAGTGCTGCAATTAGAATGACAATGGAAAAGTTAAGATGAGCAATGGTGAATGGTTCTACAAATGAACACTTTGATGCACGAGTTCATCTTATTAGTATCAGTTAACAATTCAATTGAGTACAACTACTTAAGATTTTTGTGAGTGGACGCTTTTTCCTATGTAGCTGGTAATTTTGTTAGTATTAATTGAGAATTCAATCAACTAGTGACTACTTAAGATTCTTGTGAGTGATTTCTACAAATGAATACTTTCTCATACGCTGTTACTAGTTTTGCCAATATCAATCGAGAATTTAACTAAGTAATAACTAGTTAAGATTGTTGTAAGTGATTTTATAAATGAAAACTTTTCTAGTCGAGGTAGATTTTAATGAATCTACGTACATCTACGAACTACAATTGTCATATCACTATCTCGAGAGAATCTTATATGCCCTAGATTTATGCGACAATTGTTCCTAAAACACACATCATGTGATGTGTGTACTTCATGAGTTTTGTAAGAACGATTGTCCAATCACTGCATACGTTTTTCCCCACTAGCTCAACCCATCACCCATGTGTCCAAATTATGCAACTAGGAGGGAACCAAACCAACCATTTACTAGAACAACCCAACAACATTACTACATCATTGGTAGGGTCAATATCTAATTTTTGAAAGTGACGAGAGAACCCATGATGGAATGTTGTTGTGCATTCATAATCGCAATTTCATCAAAGGATATTGCTGTATTTGTGTCCACATGTTGTTGTGCATTCATAATCGCAATTTCATCAAAGGATATTGTGCATTCATAATCGCAATTTCATCAAAGGATATTGCTGTATTTGTGTCCACATGTTGTTGTGCATTCATAATCGCAATTTCATCAAAGGATATTGCTGTATTTGTGTCCACACCACACACACCTTTAACTTTAATGTTTTGTTTTGCAGCTAGACCCCAACAACATATCTTAAAGGAGAGAGAGAGAGAGAGAGAGAGAGAGAGAGAGAGAGGAGAGAGAGAGAGAATTGGCAATTGCCTCGCTCTTTCCTATCCAAACCTACCGCCACTAACTTTTTGACAAAAAATTTCACTCTTTCTTTCCATCCATGCTGTGTGTTATTATTGATTGTAATTTCCAAAAGAAAGCGCACTTATCTCTCACACACCAAACCAAACAAAGTGAGAGAAGGGAAATACCGTCACAAAGAGACAAGCCGATTGTACGTGATCGTATAGTGAGGTAACCGACAAGATTGAGAAAATGACACCGTGTTTTGTCTATCAGTGGATGCCCATGTGCTTAATTTGACTTTACACCTCCAGCCTCTATTCTTAGATCATGAGATGATGAGGGCCTCTTTTGTTACTCATTTTCTTCACGTTATCAATCAAAACACCCCCAAATTCCAAAAATATCTTCCTCAATACCAACGCTTCTATTGCATGATCCATGTAGTGATTTCTGATCGTTGATCATATGCATCAAATGAGGTTTTATATAACAAAAGATATTTCGGCGCGTATGAAAATAATTTTTAGAAATTGGATGCGGAAAAACACAGAATTTTCGGATTTTCGCATTAATTATATATAACGTATGATGTAAAAGATTCAAAATGAGCATATTTAAATAGTAATTGTTGAAGTGGATAATACAATACAAGAAACAACATGTGAAGCTTGTAAGTTGTAATTAAGCAGTAAAACAACACAAACATCTCAAAATCCTACTCTTTGATTTCATCGTCAGATCAGATGATAATCCTAATGCAAGGAAGGTTTGCTCTTCCCGCTTTGATTTTATAAATAAAATAAAATAAAGCAAAAATTAAAATTAAAATAAAACGGGGAATGGAGGGCTTTTTCTGTTTCTCATTACGCCACTACCAAAATTACTCAAGCGCAGCCACGTGGGGCAAACCCGACCCGAGAGCTTGCCAGGTCATACACCACCCGGAACCCCTGCTGCTGGATGTTACCGATTATGGACAACCCGCCCATCGTACCCGCGAACGCAAAGCAGAAGCTCCCGCTACTGTCCACGGGGATCAAGTAGTTGGTGGCCGGCAGCGAAACGTCAGCGTTTCGGAAATGCAGCACCACGGTCGGGACTTTCACCTCGCTTTTACCCGACAAGTCGAAACACGTGTCGAACAGAGAGAACTCGGGCGCCCGCTTCAGACCCGATGTCCCGGCCCGGAAAGCGTCACGGAGAGAATTGTAAGCGACTCGGGTCAGGCGGGTCACGGACGTCCCCGAATCGAGAATGACACCTCCGTTTCCAGCCGGGTCGAGCTTGAAAAGCGACGCCGTGATTCCCCGGACACGTGCCCCGCCGACACTGATACCGATGAGCTCGACGTAGTAAAACGTGTCCAGTTTCGGGTTCGCGAGGAGTGGAGTGAACCGGGCGGTCCGAGAAACGGCCGAGTCACCGAAGACGACGGAGGACGGTTTGGACGAAGCGGACCGGTCCACTAGACAGTAGGAGAATTTCTTGTTGAACCGGACCCCGGTCTGGGTGGGAAATGATAACTTCCCCCGGCCGAGCCCTAAAAGCCCCGCCGCACCGACGAACAAGCCCTCGTTGTCGTGACCACATCCGAGCGCCACGCGTCCCACTTTGGTGCCTCGAAATGTCAGCGTTTCGGTGGAGAAGTCGCCGACAGTGAACGAACCGTCGCCGTAGGAGACTTGGTAGAGGCAGGTCTTCCTGGCTTTGCAGCCCGGGGAGTCGAGCTTCCGGCAGAGAGGGGACCCACAGGGGATGGTGGAGAAGGTTCCGGATTTCCTCGGGTCGAAGACCGGGTCGGTCTGGGAATAGCAGCGCTTGCAGGGAGCGCATTGGAGCCAAACGACGTCGCTTCCGGTGTCGAGCACCATGTAGACGTATTTGGGAGGCGTGCCGACGCCGAGGCGCGTGAAGTACTCGCCGCTGCCCTGCGCGAGTCCCGAGATGACGGAGCTGCTGAAACCTCTGACGGGTAAGCGACCGCCTCTGGCTGTTCTATTCGGCGACGCGGCGGCTGCGGAGATGGAGCTTAGGGTTTTGACGCGGACGGCGTCGCGCTGAAGGCGGAGGTTGAAGAGTTGGGAGGGGGTCTTGTTGAAGGACAAGGCGTCCAAGTGATGCAACTGTACGGACAGAGTGTTTGGGTCCGTGCTGGTTGTCGGGTCGGGTTGTACGGTCTCGGAGACGGATTCGGGCCATGAGAGGGTGGGTGGGTTGGGTAGGGGGTTGAGGACGAGGGTCTGGTGCTCGAGGGCGGTGGAGAGAGAGAGGAAAATGGCGGTGAGGGAAAAGAAGAGAAGGCCAAGTTTTGCTTTCCCTTCCATTTTGGATCGCAAAGTTTAGAGAGAGAGGGGAAATGGAGCTCAGGGATGGAGAGAGAGGAGAGTATAAATAATTGGAGTGACAGTGAGAGTGAGTGTGTGAATTCTGAAAAAGGCGGTTCTGCAGCGGCTGAAGTTAATCAGTTTTTTGGTTGGGGGTAAAGATGTCAGATTGTCAGGTTTATTGTGTTTATCTATGAAGGAAGAAAAAAACCAAAAAAAAAGAAGTTAATACTTTTTTCACCAATTAAAACCTAAACTAATTTGGTTAGAACTTAAATATGATTTGTTGGAATTAGATGGGAGTTTATCCTTCAACTAATTTTATTTATGATATGTGAGTGAAAGGACAGAAGTGTCCCTGGGGTTTAAGTGGGGGCAAACAAATATCCTGAGTTCATTTGCTTGGGCTGGTGAAAGTTGGGTTTGTATTAATCATTGTTAATGAATACTTTATTTATATCAACAAAGATTAATTGGTGAGTTTGAGCTGGCCCAGACCACTTTGAGACTAGTAGTGGAATGATTTTTCTATTTGATTAAGACAAGGCGTTCCTATTCTTATATTTGTTTTTATCATGTGATCATTTTCCATTGGAGTAATGTTGTACATAATAGGACATTATGATAAAAGCAGAATTTGTTCTTCATCCTACTTTAAGCACATGGAAATCAAACTCGAGCATAAGAGGGCGAGTATAACGTCTTAATCAACTAATTTAACGCCCACATATGCTCATTCTATTTTGTTAATTCTAACTTACGCGATCTAAGATGGAAGATGGTGTTTATTCATCGAATTATACTGTGGTAATCAATATCCTGGGTGTGTAAGGTAAATAAAAATAAATAAAATTGCATATTGGACTTGCCGATTGCCGTGACCAAATTCCAACAATCTCGGCAAGATTTAATGTGGGTTGGTCATGAGATGACCCATGAATCCTGATGCATCATTTAATCATATCTAGCCATTCAGATCATTATACCTTAGGGTTTGACTTTGGAAAAAGAAAACATGAAATTCCCATGCAGCCATTGCCATTTATTGTGCTTTGGGGAGGGTCAAGCCAGAAAAAAAGGAAGACATAATATTATATAAGAGTCTCAAGAAATTCATGCCTCCTCCATGCTTGCTTGTCACAGAGCTTATTGCAAGTTGCAACCATATGGTGGTGTTTCCCCGTGACTCTATCTCTTCTTTGATTTTTGTTTTCAAATTAATATATACATATAAATTAAAAAAACCTTATGAAGTACAGAATCCAAGTACCAGATTTGTCTTGCAAAGTTTCGAACTTTCGAACTAGAGCTTCACATGGTGTTTTTCAACAATAGGCCAATATGAGTAAAATATTTATTTTCGAGACTTCAAAACAAAATATAGAAAATGGATCTACATTGTCACACACTGTCAAGGTATTCTCATACACACTGTCAAGATTTTATGGGAATTCAACCTTGAGATTATTGGTCTACAAGTCAATGTCTTTTCCCACTGGGTTAGACCGCGTCGACGAAAATTGATCTACAATTCAGTTGCATAGTTTGGTTCTCGGTTGAGAAATGGAATGAAAATGATGAAAAATATATTTGGTTTTATCCAGATATGTAAGAGTCAGGATTAAGAATTTGAAATAAATTATAACTAGTAAACATTGTCACTTTAAAAAAATTGAAAGAGAAAAGGGTTTCTGGTAAGGATGGTTAGGCTGAAGAATTAAAGAGTAGGGCCGTGGCCCTGCGCCAATATGAGCAAACCTTATAATTGAAGCCTACTTGAATAACCGCGTGGGGCAAGCACTAAAGCTAAAAAGAGCAGGAAAAAAAGAGGAACCAGCAACTGGAAAGAGCATAAAAGCGTGGCAGAGACTCAATAAAGCATTGCAGGCTCAAAATTTAGGCAACAAAAGACAGATCTGCATACCCAACAAGATAACCTTTTCCAAACACCCAAGTTAAATTCAATGATACTGCAGCTAGTGATCTTCTTCTTTTTTTCTCTGAGCAAAAGAAAAAAAAAGTCGAGAAATTCACACTAGCTTTGTCAAAGGTCATATCCAATTCATATTCCATTTCATCCAAAATGGAGAACTTCCATTACAATGTGGCATCTTTCACTAAAGCATTAACCTGCAGATAGTGACATCTTGCACTTACTCCTTCCTGGACCAGTCCCCACTCTTCCCACCAGTTTTACTCTTGAGTCGTATATCGGTGATCTGTATAGATTTTGAGGCAGCTTTGCACATATCATAGACTGTTAGGCCAGCAACACTCACTGCTGTCATTGCTTCCATCTCAACCCCAGTTTTCCCTGTTGAACTGGCTTCTGCCTCAATATCCACACTGAAATCCTTGGGATTTAATGTCAGATCGACATGAACATGGGTCAGCGGTATGTTGTGGCATAGTGGGATGAGACTACTTGTGTGCTTTGCTCCACTTATTCCAGCAATTTTTGCCACACTGAGGACATCACCCTTGGCCATCTGGTTAGCTAAGACCAAATCAAACACCTGCTTTCCAAGAATTACCTTGCAACTAGAAATGGCAGTTCTCTTACTGCTTTCTTTGGGAGAAACATCCACCATTTGGGCTTCCCCTTTATTGCCAATGTGGGTTAGGCCAAGTTCACTTTCACCTTTTTCTTGAGTTGCTAACTGGGGTTCTTGAGGCATAAAATCATTACTCGGAGAACTGGCAGGCCCATTTGCTGGAGGTTCACCAAACACTGATTCCATTTCCTGAAACCAGGATTATAGTTAATACATGGAAGTACGTTCAACATGCCTCAATGAATTTTCTTCAAAAGAGAAAACTTTTCACATTAGATACTGAGCAATTATAAACAACTATGAAATATTTCTTGAGATAAACGCTAGAGCTCAAATCTGATAACAGAAGATAACTTTGAACACTGGAATTATCTGTTTGAACGCAATAATGTATCAGACAGGTCTCCTTTCTTTTCTTTTCATAGAGGCTCAAGTCCTTTTTCTGCATTATTCTTTGAATTTAAGTAACCAATTACTCTGAAGCAAATAAGAAGCAGTGCATTTCTGTCCTCATTGTCTGCTATAGTGCATCATATTAGTTGAAATAATAGCAAAGCAAACAAAGGTAAGCAACTGATTTCCTAACCCAAGTATTCAATTGTTTTCAAATCATTCAAAGCAGCTGGAAATAAGAACCAACAGACTCTGTACATATGCAGCATAAACAATATTTTACCTTATTAAGCTCAGCAATAGTTCTTGCAAGATCATGGCTGCTATTACTGCTAAGAAACCTTCTCGAGCGAGAAGATGCTACTGCAAGTCTCCGAAGAAACATGGCCGGCAGAATCTAGATTCGGAATTTCAGCTGCAAGTATCGGAAAAATATCCAACTCTATTTGGCTTCCCAAAAAAGTAGAAAGATAAAAACCATACTGACTTTAGCTGCCTAACATTTTGGAAGGCAATAAATTGCTTTTGGAAGCAACATTTGCTACAAATATGAATGATTGAGTAAATGAGATACATAAATGATAAAACCCAGTTCTTAGTCAGGCAATTTAACAAACACTTCGAGGTCATCATCTAAAAAAAACATGAAACTTCGAATTTCAGACGGGAAAAATTATTTTAAGAATTCCGTATTCATTACAAGAGAGAAGCAACGTGAGGAAATTATAGAGAGCTCGAAGCCATGCAAAGATTGGGTAAAGCACGTACCTTAGTGAAAGCAGCTATTGGCGAAGAGCATGTACCTCCTGCGTTTGCTCTGCATTTTTCAGACAAGAGAGCTTTGTGCAGAGGAGAGGCCCAATAGGAATCAAAAGTGGGCCAAAATAGAAGTGAAAGATATATAGATTAGAGCAAACGTATTTTCAAAAAAATACTTCCGTTTTCGTATAAGTCTAAAAAATATGAACAAAAAAATACGAAAAATTACGCATTCTTTTTTAAAGCAAACGTATTATTAATATTCACATATTATATGCATATTGAAGTATTTTTAATGAATAATCAACATTTTTCTTGAATATTTTTACAATAATACACAGATCGTCATATATTTTTAAGAAATTTTGTAGAATAATACATGTATAATATTATACTCGTGCCGTAATTTATTGAGTCATTTGTAAGTCTAACAAACAAGTTAACCTTTGTAATTTTTTTTTAAATTTTTTATGTAGAACTTGGTGGACTCATCTTTTACTTTCATGGGCGCTAGATTGACCTCATGTGGATTGTTGAATGCCATAAAGACAACAAATGAGAACTTTTCTGGAGAAAAATCTAACCTTCAAGATTTAAAGTGAAAAAATAAAGGGAGACTTTGGAAAAACACAAAGAAGAGAGAAATTTTGTAAAAGAAGCTAAAATGAACAAAATTGTCTTTATTTATTTTTGGATTTCTTAAGAAATCATTTACATTTGCATGTCTTTGATTTAAAAGTTGAGAGGTTTTTCTGTCTTTTTTTAAAAAGCTTTGGCTTTTTTCAAAAGTGAATTTTTTTTTTGCTAAAACCTAAATTTACTAAAAATAACCCACATGACAACAATTAGTGTCAAAGTCACACCAAAAGATAAACTTTAGGGATAGGAGAGCGAAGGGTGTAACAGCTAACTTCAGTTGTTTTTGCAAGTATGCAATTAGCAAAGCCTTATACACGACGCCTTCATACACAAAATTCTGTTATTTTTAACGAGATCATACAAAAGTAGATTAGAAGCTTTGTAGTTCTTGCCCAACTGGTTACTCCTCTTCAATTTTCAATGGGTTGGATGTACTACAAGAAAAGCCATACCATTCGTTAGTGCATGGAAAAAAAATAGTTCAATAGAAAAGAACATAAATCTTTTAAGATATTAAAAACTATTTGTCAAATCAAAATAGGCTATGCAATGAGAGCACAATTAAGAGTCGAGCTACTGTTAGTCAACAAATTAATGTGATATGCGTACATTATCCCCCCATCGAGAAGAAACTTGTGTTGACTGTTCCTTGCCATGTAGCAGTCACAACAAATCAGTCCAGTTAAAAGATGATATAGTTTGCAAAGGACTCACTAGTGTAGTAGCTTGGATTAATTGCTCCCCCATGCAAGATTTGGGTTCAAGTCCTAGCATCTGTGTAGTGTGTAGGAATTTAGTATGTCATATTCAAACACACAACCTCAGGTACATGAGTTTTTTAGGAGATCACTACATTTCGATTCAACACTGAATGATTTATTAAATTCGTATGAAATTATGCACATTGAAGATTATATAACCAAAATCTAGGTACTAAAACTGATTATACTTACACGGGGGAAGTTATCAGCACGCTTGCCATACAACGTTTTCATTGTATTTGTGTTTGATTGCCACCATATGCTCCCATTCATATCTACTGTCGATACTTTCCACTTTTGCTTTTGAAAACAACTTTTCTTGTCTTCATTGATTGTTGGGGGCTTCAGAACCAAGGTTGTCCATGGAGCAGCTCCAACATTGTCAATGAAGTATCCACAAAGCTGCAACTCCTTCAAGATTGACTTCAATAGGCACACAGCATAACCAAACAATTGTCTGGCTACTAGTATGTTGGGCAACCACTAAACCCCAAAAGCTTAAACTGTTAGGGAGTGGGCCAACAATGTATGCAAAACCAACGCCCTCATTCACATAGTCCCTTACGTGCAGCTCCATCCTACAACGTGTAAACACGTCGAAAAACTGCAGGCATAGAGAAACATAAATGTACAACCTCATCCTCCACCTTGCAAATTAACAAATAAGTGAGAGATTTCGTTTGGAGATTTCCTTCTAAAACGACATATGCTAATTTCCTTATGTATAATCAAGGAAATGTATAACTTCTACGCGGTTAAAAAAAACTTGGAATTTAGTCATAAATCCCATGTTTAAATCCACGTGAAGAGGTGTCATTTCCAAAACCTCAAGACAATTCAGTTTTGAGAAGAAAAACAGTATAACCATAATCGCCACCACCCTTACCATTACCACCACACCCGCTACTACTCATTTATAGATTTTTTTTTTCTTTTTACAAGCGATATTCTAAACTACTATAATACAGGGAGGGGTATCAAACTCCGGTACAAGAGGGCGGACACATTGCCTTGACCAACTGGCCTAACCCACGTTTGCACTCATTTATAGTTCGATACATCCATCAAAATACATTTTATGTTTCGTATTTAAAAATCCATCATTTTAAAAATCATTAATATTCTTAAACTTCCTCATCCAAGCGCCAAAGTTGGGAATGAACCAAGAATGGGTTGAGACCATATGACATCTCAAATGAGAATGTGGGTCAAGATTATGAAACAAGTATAATGTTCTCCTTCTCAAAGAAAAACTGTGGCTGCACAAAAGTATGCATCAACAAGGGAATGCTAGGTTATACATAAGAAGAAACTCTATACTTTGTGATAATGAACGAGACACAATCCAAGCCACACCTTATGAACACGTAGGGACTCTTGTGGCTTCGTGGAGTCTTGAGTGTTGGGGTCGGAGCAGTTGTAAGAAAACTTGCTTGGTTGAACCACTAGATAACTTGACCGAGGTCTTCAAACAATGCCAATGTGTTCATTATTATATATATAATTTTAAAAAATAGTGTTGAATGCAAAGGGCTTGTAGCTCAAGTGGTTAAGAGCATTTAATCCTGCACCCGAAGTCCTAGGTTCGATTCCCCCTTCCCCAATATCGCTTGTATGTAAAATGATGTCATCATGCTGACATGGTATGACCCACCCTTCAAATAAATGACATATACTTTAAAAAATACCATTTAACTTCTTGGAGCCAATATTTGAATGATAAATCCAGTAATTTATACATCCCTCTAGATTCTTACCCTATTTGAATTTCAAAGGGAGGGACTATCCCTTAATATAGAGCCTAACTCACTTTAATTAAAATTATAGACATAAAACTACTATATTACTAGGAAAGAAAAACATTTCTAAATTCATTCACACAGCTAAAAGATTTTTTATGTTCTCCAAAAGCTAAAAATTTGCTTCTTGGAGAAGCCCATATTTCAAATGTACTTCCTTGGAAAAGACTCGGAGCTTGTTCCACATTGCTTTTGGGTTTTGGCCAAAAGTACTTACTATAGTGGAAATAGAAAAAAGGTGCTCTTGGGAATCACAGAAGCCCTTGTAGAGGTCCCTAGATATGTACCTATCCGAGGAAGCCCTTCCAAGTGAATATGCAGAAAGACTTGAATTTTACAAGAAAATTTTCATTTTCTTCTAATAAAACCGCTACTAACAAAAGCTTTATTGAGTAAGAGCGCTTCATACAAAAGCATTTCCTAATTGAGCCTGGTCACAGGTATGCAAAACAAACCATAAGTACTTGGAACATAAGTTTTCTTTTTGGGCTTTGGTTTTGGCTCAAACTTTACCCTCTTCAAGATATCCTTTTTTATAAACTTTAATTGTAGCATGAAAGCCCTTCACATAGTACAACTAAAGAACTCCACAAAAGTGCTTTTGGACACCCAGAAGTTACCCCAACCAGGCCCTTAATCTGACTAATATGTGAAACACCTACAACTACTAATCTAGTCTAATATCATCCTGCTCCATGATCTACCTTGTAAGTCGATAAGAAGGGCTGCCTGTATCCACCTAATAAATCATCTAATTTTCTGCATTACCTATGATATGCTTGTAACCACCAGCTTCTTCCCTCTTGATATATCTTCTAACTTCACGTGGTTCTTTAGATTCCATTTTACTCAAAGTAACCACTTCCTTCGATTTTGAGGAACATAATAAAATGATCACATATCTCCTTAAGGAGATGGAGATAAATCAAAATGTAAGAGAATTTATTCATGGACGTGCATCCTTTACTCAGAAAGATGGTGTTGTGATCCCATAGTTTGGTTCTTTCATCTGTTGCTGAGAGGCTATTATCTAGTGGAATGGTATATCTCGTACTGTCAAGTGCTAGCTCGCGTCTTCAATTCTTATCACTTTATACCAAAAGAACAAAGTTGATAGTTTATTTCTAGGAAACCTGAAACTTATATGGTATTGAACTTTTTTGGTCAATCAAATGGTTCACCATCTCTCTCTATATAAAAAGACCATCAATAATGCAACAACAGTACCAAGCCATATAAAGTAATCAAGCCAGAGGTCTTAGCACAGGTGGTCGTAAAAGAGAATAAAGGATGAGAAATAAATAGGTCATTGGTCTAGATTTTCCCTCTCGGGAAAAAAGGGTATTGATATGGAAGAGGAAGAAAATACATACCAAACCAAGGTTTACAATGACATTCAACAAATAATACTTTCCAATACAGTAGAAACGAGAGTGGAGAGATTGGTAGTTAAGAAGCTAGGTCAATTAATAATCATTGGCTAAAGTGAAATTTTGTAACGCATTAGGGCATCCTATTATTACCCAGGACAGGTTAATATTATTTTCCTGCTCTCGACAGTAATCATAGGATAACTATTTACTTTTTTTTTCTTCCCTAAGACTAGCATATATGTTAAAATGCAAGAAAGTGTTCTTTGTGCGTGTGTGTGTGCATGTGTGCGCTCAACACACAATCATGTAGCATAGGTGTGAATATGACATTTTCGCAACCAAAGAAGATATAGGTGAATTAACAGGCGGTTCTGTCAGCTCACATGTCACACTCACACCTTAATAAAGAGAGATACAATTCAAATCATAGCAGCACATATAAAGCAAAGAAAAGAAAATGAACCTTACTCGAGCTTTGACATCAAACTTTCGGCTTCTCTTAGAGCTGAACTTACAGCATAAAGTGTCATCTTTTTCACCTGTTAAACAAGGAAAGAGAAACCAACATAACCTAAGAGGTACATAAGGTAGTCATGGACTCATGGTGTAGTTAAGGTGCATTTTCTTAATGCATATTGATGCCTAAAATCTACTACTAATTATGAGTTAAGTAACCAGTGGACAGTTTACAGTGTCAACTAATTAAACTAAAATCTAGTCAACATCAATACCAAAATCCCTTTAATCACATAGTTACTAGCCTCTTGACACATGCTTCAATGCATGCCAAGTGGTTTTTTATACTGTGTATTAAAGAACAAATGAAATTTAGCAGAAACAAAAAGCAGCAGTAATTTTAATCTAATTAAATTAGTTTACTATTTTACCCTTCTTAAATAAGAATTACTTTCTTTTTTACAATTTTATTTTAATTAAAGGCATATTTGAAATTTCAAAAGTTACATCAAAACCCGAACTCCTCCATTTACTATTAAAAACAAATACATGAACTTTAAATTTTGGATTACTTCTGTTAATCACCATGAAACCCTAGTAAGAAGAGACAAACGGTCAATTGCATTTGGGCAGCCTTCTTAACAGTATTCTATTACAATAAGTAAAAGTAGAATACTTGAGATGTGAAAAATCAATGTTTATGATGTAGTGAAAGACGTGAAAATAAATTGATACCTCCAATTTGTCTTCCTTGGCTCTATGGTTTTTTGGGAGCAAACGGAACTCTTCAGTCAATCGAAGACATTCTTCAAGACTTTCAGGAGATACAAAATCAAGTGCTACCTTTATGCAAGACTGAGAGGAATCAAATAAAAATAAATTCAAATGAGGGAAAAGTAATAAGAGAGGAACTTAACCAAATCATTGAAAGTCTAGAAGAAAGCCAAAAATATTTTTAATACAGTGTAGAACAGAAAGGTATAACTTCAAAAATTGAATAAATTGTTCAAAATGTATAATTAGTATTTACTTGTGTATTTCTCACTTGATGAGGACATCCTGCGGGAATAAAAACTGCCTCACCAAGGTATTGCGTAAATGTCCAAGGCTCAACATCTGCATTTAAAATCACGCATCAATTATATTGCAGTTGAAGATTGCAACTTATCAAGATTAATTGAAGTAAAAACTAGATAAGATTCTTACTGAACTCCTCCTTTAGTTGTTTCTTATGTCTCTCATTTAAGTAAAGAGTCTGATCATGAATAGGATGAACAACCTACGACAAAACGCATTACACATGCTCAGGAACCATCTTGTACAATGTACATAAAGCATAGTGACAAATACTAGCCTTGAAACTTACAGAATCTACAGGATGATTATTAATGTGGCGAAACTCTTTCTTGTGTTTATCCAAGTACTTTATTAACTTGGGAACATCCTGGTTGCGAAATATGTCCCAAACAGCACCGCCATGGGCAGCGTCTAACCCATCATTACTTTCAAGAGAATCCTTTGTTTGCCTCACGTTTGACTTTTTTATATCATCAACTGTATTACTGCCTGAGAAACAAAACCCTGAAGCATCTTTCCCACCAAGCCTCCCAATCATCATGTCGCTGGAACATTGAACATGTTCTTGCTCAGCTTCAATCTCATTTGTATGAGGCAAGGTGGATTGTATCCGTTCACTCTGATGATCAAGACTCGGAGTATCAGGAGATTCCGAAACATACTCTGTTTCTTCATGTCCGACAATGCCACCTAGATCCATGGAATCTGACAACTGTTCCTGTTTTGGCATTAGATGGTCACTCTCCACAATGTTCTCATTTTTAGTACATTCTACAGAATCAGCACTCATGATCTGCAGTTTGTGAGTTTTCTTCAATGATTTTCCTCTAACTCTCCCATTGTCGTCATCTCTTTCATTGTAGAGTTCACACAAGTCTTCAGCTTCATGCTTGCTCTGCAAACCTTCTATTTTTTTCTGCTGCCAAGGAGCGATCTTTACTCTTGTTGTGTGAGTCAGAACGTTTACCTAATCCCAAATCACATAATTGTTGGTCAAACCCTGTTTAAATAACTATATCGAAGGTACAAATAGAATAAAATAAAATTTAAAAGCGGTGTAAAAAAAACTGTTAGCCCATATTAAATGACATTTGAAGTACAATTATAAATTCAATAACCATAGAACATATAAGTCAATATTCAAGTCACATAAATTTGTACAAGATCTTAAATAACTTCCATTAACTAATCCCACCTCCAAGTTTCAATTCAGTTAGAATTTATAGTGTAGTCAGTGTGCCATAAGTGTAAATTGTTCAGGCATGATGAGATGAAAAAGGAAAGAAAGAGAAAAAAAAAAATATCAATATTAATATTATTCGGGTGAAAGTTCAATGACATGGAACATAGCCGTGATATCACATAGGTAGATGAAGCTAGCATGAGAATTAAGCCAGAATTGCCACAAAAGCTATGATTTGAGCACATGGACATGGAATGTCTGACATGTAAACTGCCAGAAGTATCTTCACTTATAAAAGAAACATGGCTATTGAGATAATTATGGAAATGATGACCATGTGTAAACAGTCCACACCTTGATAATTTGGCACTTTTTCAACACAAATGAACGTAGGTTAATTTTAAGCATCCAAAGCAGCGTACAACTTGGGTGGACATGAGTCTGTGTCCTTAAGAGCCCAATCATAGCAGAAAAGCAATAACCAATATCTTCATAAGGAAGATTCATAAAGAATGATTGAAGTATTGTTGACTCAAAGAAATCAACCGTGAGGTCAAAGTAAAGATCATAAGAAGAAAACCAGAAGAACTTCTAACGAAAGAAAGCAAGCTATATCCAGTGTAGTTGGAAACATGGTGGTGGGAGCCGACAGAGAAAGTAACCACAGTCTTAAGATAGACTAACTGCTAAACCCAAAGGTTGATGACCTTCTAACTTCCACGACTGATGTATGGGAGGGAAATTGTCATTCTCATCCACTAAAAATTTATCTTTTAAATAACCCAACTTCGTGCATGATAACAGCTGGAAAAAAAACACAATCAAATTTGGTATTTGGATAACATGATCACTAAGGACACATCAAGAAAAGGATAATAAAAGTAACAAAATGGCCAAACCAAACTCTCCCAAGCTTAAGCGGGCATTTACGACCTAATAAAAAAACATTGTAGTGAGAAAACATTACCGCATCAGACATATCACAGTGTAACTTCGTTACTGAATCGCCTCTACCAAGCTCTTCAGAAAATCCATAGGCAATGTATGTTTTCGGTCCCATATCAGGTTTCAATGAATCAACAGGAAGTTTTGTAGCAAGATTGAGACAACCTATGCCTGAATCTTTTGGATCAGTATAGTCACTGTAGGGGAGTGCTGCGATAAATTCAGCACAATGCCTTGGCAGTCGCTCCTCAAATAAAGTTGATGAGGGCCAATCCTTCAATTTCAACATCTCTGGCCACCCACTTTTATGTACACGACCCTCTAAGTAGCCCATGAAAAATTGGTGAATATTAATTTCAACCTGCATGAAAGTGAAATGTCAAGAATTTCAATTCTCATAGCAGCAGATGTTTTAAAACTCTTCTCATTATCTATTAGTAATTTAGCTAGTTTTTTATAGCTACCTCACACCAATCCCAGCAGTCAACGGCCTTCACACTTCGTGTCTCCTCTTTAAACTTTACCTTGGCACCCGTTTCTCTAAAAGCCCTCCACATGACCATAGGTTCCCAACTAAGACCAGATGTCTTGTCAAGAACATTTCTGACTATCACAGGTTCCCCATTCATCCAATGCCTTTGAAAATGCTCAATTTCATCATCTGCAATGTCAACAGCACTTGGACAATATAAGAAGTTATCATCACTGCTTTTCCTGAATGCCGCCTGCCTCACTTCAGACTGTAGGTTATTATTTTCCTCGGAATCATTCGGCTGGCAACAGGAGCATCGTTGGGACATATCGACATCTTGCTTCTTGAAGTCACTAGTAACATCCTCTGCACTTTTTAACAGCTTTGTTACCCAATTAGCTTTACATTTGCGCCTCAATTCCAGCTTTACCTTGCCACAACCTCCACATTCTTTTGGAGGACATGGAATGCTCCCATCAGGATTAGCTCTCCAGTTAGGAAAAGAAAGAGTCACATCAGTTTTAGAATCATCAGCACCAAGGGTAATTTGGCTCTCCCAGCCATGTCTTTTCCTTTTCAAATTAGTATTGTCCTCGCTTTTAGTCACTTTTTTCTGAGCTCTTTCCACTGATTGTTGGTGAGATGTTTCTGCTTCACTACCTCCAGGTTGGTAGCCTTTCCTTAGATCTTGGCAACAAGTAAGACAGAGATCGTAGGAACAATGGAGGTTGGGGCAGCTTCTGTGGAAATCAACAATAGATGTATAGCAATTGTCGCTGTCATACAAGAATGCATGCATTGTTATGACAATACATGAAGGTTCCATAAATATAAACACAAAAACAAATGTTTTCTGCTAAAAAATGTGCACAATCTATGGACTGCATATAAATAAGAATATGAAATATGACATTAATTAAGAACAGAGTATCAAGATATGCATGTAATATATGGGAGTCCAGCCACAACTTTAAACCTCCAATGTGTCTAGTGAAAGAACTCTAACAATTTACTATTCCTCTTATTGATAACAGGCAGGGATGTCGGAAACACCATACCAAAAATATTACTTAGCTAGGACCACCATTTTCTTATCAATTCAAATGATGTTTATGGATTTTGCTTCAGCTTTGAAGAAGAAGTGAAAGTGGAGAACAGACCATAGACAGTTTGGTGCCTCAAAAAAATCATTTCTTTACACCTAAGACCTCTCTAGTCCTTAATAACATTTCATTATAGTATCTAACACTTGAATGACAGGAATTTAAACTAAGAACAAATTCTTGTAGATTCACTACAGACATAAAGACAAAAGATATTCGATAAAAGATGCTAAACGAAATGCATTTCTCAGTTTAATTGTCAGGGAGCCTGGACTTACCAATACATACGTTCACTTTGATCTATTTTAGTTCTCGTTACGTCCATTTCACTCAACTGAACACCTACCAAAAAAACAAAACACAAAATGAGATAAACAACAATCCTCGACCAAAGAAGTAAAAACTACATTTAATAGAATCTCAAAAAAGGTTACCTTGTATTTTGGCTTCAATCTCTAGTTCAAAGCTCTGCTCAGTATGAATATGCCTCAGAACAGGTAAAGCTTTATATAGCAAGTACTTCAGCCGCTGTAATTTGACACTGGGCTCAACTTTTATGTTGCAAGGCTGTCGAAACAAATAAAACCATAGGGGAGGGGGGGAGAGAGAGAGAGAGAGATTAGACTCAAAACTTGGTAGTTTCAGATTAAAGTGCAGAGAGACTGCAGGAAAGAGAACCCACTTTCTTAATAAACTGGCGCAAGCAATCTTTGCAGTTGCAGTTGCGACAGCAAAATGGGCACTTCTTCGCTATTTCCTCTCTTGTCTTCCCAGGGTACCTATCTCAATATTGAACAATGCAAAAACTAATGAAAAGCCTTATCATTCGAAACCAATACATCAAAAGATATCAAAGGCTTGCAATTATGGACAAATGCAAATAATGCAAACACAATGAGCTCACTCAAATTAAATTTTCAACCAAACTCGCGCAAATATTTACAGAATTAATTTTAAAACTGGGTATAAATGCAAATACAAAATTAGCTCACTCAAATTAAAATTGTCAACCATCTTAGTTCTTACTTACCATCTTTCAATGCACTCGAAGCAAAATCGCTTTATCTTACAATTAGAACAGTGGACAACGCCACTCTTATCGTTCCGCTGACACTGGTGGCACATCAAGCTCACACGCTGCTCCGTCTTCTTGTTAGGCTTCTCCTACAAGACCCAAAATTTTCATTTTTGTTCATTTCTCAGATAACTTAGAGCAGCACAAAAAATAATTGAGAAAAAAAAAAAATTCAAATTTTGGATATTTCACCTCCTTTAATTTGCAATTCTTCACAGGATTATCGGAACCGCTGTCTCCATCTGATCTTTCTCTCTGAATTTTCTTATTCCTAGTCTTATTCTTGAGCTGCGCCGAGTGCTTTTCACAGTTCTTCATAGGATTATCGGTATCGCTGTCTCCGTTGGATCTTTCTCTCTGAATGTTCTTATTCTTAGTCTTACTCTTGAGCTGCGCCAAGTGCTTTTCACAGTACGACTTCCCCGACGACGCCGTTTCCCTGCACCGCCACTTTTGACCATCGTTGCGCTTGCACCGGCGATCATCTTCCTTCGATTCCATCGTCGAAGGACAGATCGTGTTCGGAAATTAACGGCTCCGATAGCTCTGGAAAGTTACGAAATGCAAAGTGTATCGACTATCTGATTTCCGCGGTTAGGTAGGAAATGCAAATAGGAATTGGATATTTGGATGCCTTATATTTATATTCATATTATTTTATCAATTTTCATTTCGATAAGTGTACATTATTTATAACGTCTTGTTTCGCTGGTCACTCGTAAGTGTAACACGTGTTATTTTTTTCTTAAATAATTTTCATTTGGATGATTTCATAATTCTTTTTTAATCTAGAGAGAGAGAGAGAGAGAGAGAGAGAGAGAGAGAGAAACATGAAAAATAACACGTTTTGATACCTATGCAGTGCTCTTGCTCTTCAGAAATCTAATCTCCTCGATTCCAAACGTTTCGATGGGAAGGATTATCATTCTTGGGCAGAACAGATGGTGTCTACGCTAAGGGAACTACGGTTAGAATATGTGCTTTTTGAGCCATGTGCAAACATTCGTCGATCAAAGGCTGCCTTTGAGATTGCTCGTTTCGATGGGAAGAACTACCTTCTCTGGGCAGAACAGATGCAGTCTATACCAAAGCATTTTTCAGATGGAGCATCTGCTGTCCGAGCCATGCCCAAGATCAGAGGCTGCTTTTGAAAAATGGATGCATGCTGATCATAGGAGCAACTTATTATATCGTTTTGGTAGATATGGAGAACAAGAGTTTCAAACATGGCCTGAGCGATCGAGAAGAGCTTTAGGAGAGAAAAATGAATGGTCGATGGGGTTGAAGAAGGAGGTGGATGAGGTTGGAGAAGACCGTTTTATTTACGAGGTGAAAACCAAACCCTAATTTCTATGTTTGGTTGCTTAGAAAGTGTAGGAAACGGAAGGGAAATTGAATTCTATAATAATGGTTTCTTTAATCCATGTTACTTATAAAGAATCCAAATTTAGGGTTGCTTGTTCGCCTTTTTCAGAAAGATACAGACTTTTTTTGGTTGATGAAAAAATTGCAGGCAAAAAGCTGAGAATTTTATATTTGAATGGTAGAAAATTACAGTTTTTTGTTTACTTTCATTAGCTATCAAACAAGACAAGTGTGGTGGTTCATAATGTAGGAGGGCTAACTTTTGTGTCAATTGAGCAATTTCGTCAAATCGGTGGAAGTCAAGTTCATTCTGGCAAAGGTGACTACCATTCTGACTGTGTAATACCCTTCGTCTTAATGGAATGAATTACCTTGAAAAAAAAACAAAAAGGTAACTACCACACAACCAAATCTACATTCTAATCTGGTTTAGCTCGCATCAAACTGTTGTCTAATGTCAAAGATCTGTCCACAGATTGTACTAAAATCGGGAGCAAAGTTTAAAGAATTTGTTGTGCAAGTAAATACTAGAAGAAATTATCTTAATTTTTAAATGGTTTTTATTTCTTTATTAAAGGCAAAGGGTATTTATTTTGCGAACTAAATTTGTAAATTTTGTACTACATGGGAGAATTGAAAATCTTCCACAACCCTAATGGTACATATGGTTAGGCAAGCGAGGCTTAGCAATGGCCATCAAAGGTTGGCCCTTTGGCATGGTCATCCCATAAACCTCTTTGGTATCAATATCTTGAGGCCTCAACCCGTCTGGTGGACCCCAATCGAAACCATGAAAAAGCCGAGCCAATGCCATCAAAACCAGAGTCACTCCAAGTGGCGCGCCGGGACACTTCCTCTTTCCAGCACTGAATGGCAAGATCTTGAAATCGGCTCCATGGCTAATCTCAACTCGGCTCCCATCAGCAAGCCAATGCCTCTCGGGTCTAAACTCCTCCACGTTGTCCCATATCTTGGTGTTTCGCCCTAGTCCATGAGTATTGATGAAGACACGTGTCTTGGCCGGTATGTAATAACCGTTGATCCACGTGGCACGAAGTGATTCGTGCGGGATGAGGAAGGGTCCAGCTGGGTGCATGCGAAAGGTTTCGCGTACAACGCATCGTAGGTAGTTAAGGTGGGCTAGGTCTGATTCGTTGACCATTCTGTTTGGACCGACGACGGAGTCGAGCTCTTCTTGGATCTTACGAAGTACGCGCGGATGCTTGATCACCTCAGCCATTGCCCATTCGTTGGTCACAGCTGAAGTGTCTGTGGCAGCAGCTATCATATCCTGAAGAAATTCATAATAAATTTTTAATTAAATATCTGATAATTAAAACAAAATATAAATTCACGTGTATTTAGGCAATTTCTGACCATTGATCGATATGAGAATCACATTTCATCAACGATCAGAATTCACCCTTAAGCGCATGGGGACTGACATTAGCAAAGTCCTTCTAATATTATTGGAAAAATATTACCTGAATTAGAGCTTTGATTTCCACATCATCCATGTGTTCTTTCCCATCCTCACCTGGCAAAGACAACAAAACATCAACGAAGTCCATTTCTCCTCCATCCTCCCCTCTAGTTTTTTTCCCCTTCTCCTCCCTTGCCCTCCTCCTATGTTCTTCAATAATGTTGGTGTGAAAATCATCCACTCTTTTCTCCACTTCCCTCATTTTCTTCTCACACCTATAAGGATCCACCCACCTCCAAATTGGCAAGTAATCACCCAAATATATCAACCCCAACAACCGAAACAACTCATGGGTTATGTGCATGAACTCCATGGCCTCTTGTGGGCCTGCCGACCCAGCCCCAAAATACTGCTTCCCAAGTAGCATCCTAGTCACATTGTTCATAGAAAACCCACCCAACACGTCCCTCAAGTTCACCGCCTTCCCCGTCTGGGCCATGGCCCAAACATCTCGAACGAGGTGTTGGGCCTCTTCGGCCCGATGCCGTGCGAAGGAGTCGAGCCGCTTCGTTGTCAGTAAGTGCTCCATGCATATCCTCCTCATTCGCTTCCACCGCGGCCCGAACGGAGCAAGTGCCACGTCACCACACCCATAGGCCAAATGAACAGCAGCAAGAGTTCTTGGTCTGGATGCAAAAACCTCATCTTGTTTGAGAAGTATTTCCCGGATGATATCTGGGTCATTGGTCGTGATGGCGTCAACGCTACCAAGTTTCAGGTAGACCAGTGGCCCATATCTGTCACATAAAGAGGCTAGGTCCCTATGTGGCAGTGGGCCGAGCTGAAGCAGGTTGCCCAAGATGGGCCATCTTGGTGGGCCCGGAGGAAGCTTTTGGGGTTTGGGTGAAGATCTGCATTTCAGTCTTTGGTAAATGATGCAGGCAATGATGGCTGCAAAAATGAGAGTTACACAAGAGGTGTCTAAATCCATGTATAAAATTGTACGAGGAAGGAAAAGCCTGGGCTCATGAATCTGTTTATAAACTTAATCAATGGGAAGGAACAAGATTGGCCAACAACATTTTTGGGTCAAACCATGCTCTTTATATGCATGTATTGTTGGTTATAAGTGATATTGGCATGTTATTCAAACATTTGGTGACTAGAATATTTACCAAGAACAAAGAAATGAGTTTTGTATGTTTTGCTAATGTATTAGAATAAAGGTAGAAAAAGAGTACCAAGAATATGAGCCTTTAAATTAGGTGTAGACCTAGGGCTAATTTGGTAGCTTATTTGTTATTTCTTTTTGTAACATTTTTTGGATGCTTTCCATACTCGGCCTACATTTTTTTTCTTCCTCCGAAACCTTCCTACATCGATCGCATTTAATTTCCTTTTTCTATGTAAGAAATACAAAGCAGCCACATATTGTCGGTGGCCTTCCCGCCTTTCTCCTCCCTCCCCGCTCCTACTTCTAGTCTCTCTTCGTAGAGAGAAAAAAAGGGATTCCAAAAAGAGGGAGGAGTTGAGTAAAGGGAGAGTTGCCAATAAGGATAGTGGAAGAGGAGCCAAGGTTTTCAAATTGTTTTATTTTCTGATTTTGTAAATAAATAAATAAAACTCGTGTTAGGGTATAGAGCGAAAATAATACAGTACATATAAAATGTCATATTATTAAATAAGATGGGACGAGTCTGTTAGATTAAGACTACGAGAGTGTGTTTTGGAATAAAAAAAATTATCTTGTATACGGAACGAACTCATTTAATACATGTATGCGCAATTCGATTTTAAGTTAACTTAAGTGAACTTGTAACATCACGTGACATTCTCGACAGTTATTACAGTTTTAAAAGTTAAAGAAAAAAAAATTCAAAGTTGTCATTGTGACTCCAAAAAATTTATCCTGCATAAGCTCTTGTAAAAAGAAAGATAAAAATTTAGAAATTGTAAGTACTATGATTACCGTGATAATAATCTCATATTTTTACACCCACCACCAAAAAAGAGAAAGAAAAAAAAACAAATGTTTGTGCCTCCTTAGTCGCTCGAAGCCGTTTCTCGGAGTCTGAACTCTCCCCACTCCCCCCCAATTTAACCTCACAAAATCAAAACCCGTTCTTAACATTTTCTAAGAAAATCATAATTTTCCGAGAAAATTAGTCAGAAAATGGACTCTGAAAGTCGACGGAAAATCGAGGATACGGTTTTGGACATATTGAGAAAAACCAACTTGGAGGAGATGACTGAGTTCAAAGTCCGAGAGGTAACCTCGGAGCAACTCGGAATCGATTTCTCTGATACAGAGCACAAGAGCTTCGTGAGAAGCGTGATCGAAAGGTTCCTGCTATCGGCTCCGGATACCGAGGTGAACGCTCGGGAGGAGCTCATGGAGACGAATGTGCAAGAAGAGCAGGGCACGAGGTCGAAGAAGGAGGTGAATGAGGACGGACACCGTGTTATTTGCAAGGTAAAACCCTAATCTCTGTGTTTGGCTGCTCAGAAAGTAAAGTTGAATTCTTTAATAATTGGTTTCATCAGTTTTAACTTTCAGGTTAGTGTTTAATAAAGTGAAGCAAATACAACTATTGGGCTTAGTTGGTTTGAGTATTTACAAAAATGTTGTTGACACTCAAATGTGAATAAAGAATTGAAATTTAGTGTTTTTTTTTTTGTTTATTTGTATCATTTTTTGAAAAAGTTTGCATGTATTTAAAACAACACTAGATTCTAGTTGGTTGATGACAAATGCAGGCAAATAACCAAGAGAAACTGGGATTTAATAAGAACACAATCATTGCTCGAAATTGAGAAATTCAGAACCTTTTGTTTTCTCGCACTTTGATCATATTGTGTGTGTCTATGTATCTGTGAGACTGTGTTTGGATTTCTGATCTGAAGTTTTTTTGTTTCATTAGCTATCTAACAGGAAAACTGTGGTGATTAACGATTTCAAAGAGAAAACTTACGTGTCCTTCAGAGAATTTTATCAAAAAGATGGAAAGCAACTTCCTACCGCCAAAGGTGACCCCATATCTGAGAAACTGCTTTATATTTTTTTTATTGGTCGTGTTTGATGTTTTTATCATTCACCTCGCTTTCCTGGTTATTGATGAGAAATAATTTGTTTTATTTACTGCATTGATTATAGTCCTAACAATATGTATTGCTTGCATAATCACATACTTAGTTCTATATTGCAGTCCATTGCCCTGTATCTTTCTGTATATTCAATGCTTTTGTCTTAATAGTGATTTGTATTGATGTTATGCTTTCAGGAATTAGCTTGCCAACTGAACAATGGGCAGCGTTCAAAAAGAGTGTCCCTGCAATAGAGGAAGCCGTTAAAAAGATGGAATCAAAGATAAGGTGAGAGTAAACTGTTGATAATTTGTTTGAGTGCTGATCTGGACTCTTAAATCTCTTTTTTTAGATTTCTGATCGTATTCACCTTCATCTTGAGCAAGTCGATTCGGAGGCTTCTCCTTGATAACTCTTTTGTCGCTGAAAAGCAGGTAGTTGAACTATTGACTGACTTTAATTAATTATAATGCAGATCTGAACTTGACAGTAAACGAACTGAAAATGGTAAGCAAACTGAAGATGGTAAGCAAACTGGAGACGGTGTGCAAACTGAAGACATGTCTAATTCATTAAATGGTATTGCTCCTCAACAACTTGTTACCATTGAGACTAGCCGTTTTGATGGGAAAAACTACCCATTCTGGGTGGAACAGATGGAGCTTCAGTTGAAGCAATTAAAGATTGCATATGTGCTCTTTGAGCCATGCCCAAGCAGTATGCTTGGCCCGGAAGCAAGTAGTGAAGAAATTGCTCATTCAAAGGCTGCTGACCGGAAATGGGTGAATGATGATTCCGTGTGTCGTCGTGGCATCTTAAACGCTCTATCTGATGATCTGTTTTATCTTTACTCAAAGAAAACCATGACTGCTAAAGAGCTGTGGGAAGATCTAAAGCTAATATATCTTTTTGAGCAATTTGGAACAGATAGAACTCGAGTTAAAAAGTACATCGAATTTGTGATGCTCGAGGGGAAATCAATTGTGGAGCAAGTTGAAATTTTTAATAGGCTTGCTGATTCCATTGTAGGTTCTGGAATGATGATTGAGGAAAAATTTCATGTCAGTGTCATCATCTCCAAACTCCCCCCGTCTTGGAAGGATGTGTGCATTAAGTTGATGCGCGAGGAGCATCTACCTTTTGCAATGTTGATGGAACGTTTGAGGGTCGAAGAAGAGATGCGTATTAGGGAGAACCAGGGAGCACCTTTTAACCTAGTAGGTGATCTAGCAAGGAAGTATGCACCAAGGCAAAGAGATATGAAGCCGCGAAGTATGCAATGGAAGAGGCAAGAATTGGAGACAAATGGCAAAGTTATTTGCCAAGTTTGTGGCAAGAAGGGGCACATCTCTCAACATTGTCGTTATCGTAACAGGAAGGATGACAAGGAAGGTAATGATAAGGACCATGAGGGAAATGGATCAATGCCTACAAGTATGGAGGTCAACATGTCTGAGAGGGCAGCGGAATAGCTAAATTCCGTACAGCTTCCCTCCCATCTCATTTGCACTAACAGCATTTTTAACTTACAGAGTTAGCAAGTACAAAGGGAATGTGTGATATTGTTCCAAAGCCAGGCACGGGGCTTATGTTCAGGTGAAATTGGTATCAGGTGATAGTCTGCATTAGAGGATAAATGTGGGGTTTGCACGTTTTCTTGTGAAGCAGGGTTTTGAAACTGATCTGTAGTTTTGTACCATAAGTTTTTCTTTTTAAATTTATTGTAAATGCATACCATTCTTTCTGAAAAGCGTATGTTGGTTTTTGGTACATGAGATTCGTTTAGGTCTGATGTTGTGAAGTTTTGCATACAAAGAATGTCTACAGTTGCTCTCCAATATACTTATAAGCAGACATCTATTGCTTCTCTTTTGCAGTTGTGTTCCATAGAAATCAATTTGATGAAGTTGGATATATAAGTGATACATAATTAACACGTGAAAGTTACAGCAACATCTTGGCTATGGAGAGTATATTGAAGGGAAAAGTAAAAAGTAAAAAACTGGAGTGTCAAAAGATTAAAAATGGGACAGTAAATATAACAGGGTTTGATACACATCCAATTAGGGAGGAAATGTCGTTCCTTTATGTTTATATCGTTCATGCTAAAGAAAAGGAATCCACAATTTTTAAAGTTACAAACCAACTTGGCTTGAGGATGTACAGGTTGTAGCTAAAGCCAACCAACCAAAAAACAACAGAGGGAGAGAATCAATACATTTTGCTGCTTTTACAATTTGATACAAAGACGGCACATGAAGCAATAACTTAGAGATGGAAAAAAAAATCCAAGCAATCTGCTGATGCCTCCATCTTGGCCTGCATGCTTCTGTTATAGCCAACACAAGAGAGTGTTAGTAATATTCAAATATTGTCTAGAATAGCAAGAGCTTCAGGACACCAATCATGATGGTTTATACATGGATAGTTGACAAGCATCCAACATCTTGAATTACTAACAATATGGAGGGGCAACAATCTTTCATGACCTTAACAGAAATGTCCTTTAAAATAATATGGAGGAATTGCCGAAACAAAATGCCAAAATATGAACCATAGAAGCTCAGATATTGACTTGAAATTTTAAGCATAATGAAATTAGAATCTGATCCTTTGAGTTTCATTCAAACGCTACAGTTTTCTGATTAAATTTGCAAAGATAGAGGTTGTTTGAATCAGTGCTTACAGTCTTCAAGAGATCCTTAGGCCAGTACCCGCTAAAAGGAAAACCCACAGAATCACACTTGTCTGGTGAAGTTTGCCTTAGCGAAGTCCAACAATTCTTGTTCTCTTTGCATATCCTCGGTAACATGAGATCGCTCCCATTTCAGCTTCTTGATCATATCCTCAGTTTCAAGGTATTTTGCAGGCATACTAGATTCTCCAGAGGTTGCAGGAAATTTGACCTCTATATCTTTCCTGAGAGTAGATAACACTTCTATAAGAAGAAAAAAAAACATAGCAATAAACAAGGTTTTCGAGAGTTTTATTTAGTTCCAAACTAACCTGCTTCCCAGGATGAACACGCCACTCTTTTTAATAACCCCGCCATCTAAAGACAGTGCTCCATCATTTATGCATGGCAGAGCAAGACGCATCTCCGCTCTGGTTCTATATATTTGGAGGCGAGAAAAGAGGCTATAGAATAGTGTCTCTCTGAGACCATGCCCACCGCTGGTGAGACAATCCAAGTTTTTGTCATCCAAATTGATTGTGTTCACTGCATAATCAAGAAAGCCAGGCGGACACTCCCCATTTGGTAGTTTTGGTTTTGGAAGAGAAAGCTTCCTTTGTGGGTCATCAGCTACAAATCCCCCAACATATGGGCTAAAAACAAACAACAGTTAGAAATTGTATAAGCAATAACAACTTGAGAGAAAAAGGGGACAGGTTTCTTGCCTTAAATCTTCAAGACATATAACAAGAAACCGCCCTTTTATGCTCTTCCCAATAGAAGATCCTAGCCCATGTATACCGGCAGTGCTGATTATTGTGCCGTCCGCATCATACTTCTCTAGAACCTTAACACCTTCATACGTCTTGCATACAATTGCTAGCATCGTTTCCAGTCCCAAGTATTCTGAGAGAAGCCTAGTTCAAAGTTACAGGAAAGCAGCAGGTCAGGCAACTTTGTAAAAGAAAGAAATAGTGTTTGTGATAGACAGTGATCTTTCTTCTATATTTTTATACTCATTACGTAACTTAATCAAGAGCAACAAACGAAATAATAAGTTTATTTATTTATTTATAATATTTTGGTCTTTCTATCTGTACTTTGTTGGAAATGCTGAACTGGGACATGGATTAATCAGAATAGCAGATCATAAATTTTTGAAAGACCACATATGAATCCCACATACAAGTTGGGCAAATTATTTGTCTGGTCTAAACAAAACTGATGGATTATTTTTGTTATCAGAAATTATATGAGTCACAGTAAGTTTGAGCAGTAGCAGGAAGAAACTCGAGGAAGCAACCTAATAACCCTTATCATGAACTCTATCATCTGGATGATCAATAAAACCAATCAAGAAATATGATCTGAAGAAATTTTGACTTCATCCAGCCAAAAAACTCTCTTTCATACGGTATATCACGAGAAAGAGATGGACGTCAAGAAAAACAGACCTGCTAAGATTGTCATCATCGACTCTGCCAAGGGTGGCAACAATGCCAACAATACCCAAAACATCCTTTGTCAGAGCCAAATTCAAAGCCTGAGTCGCGTGATGAGATTTCAACAGCTCCAGCCTGCACAATAAACTAGCTGCAGATTTCTCATGCCGCAATATCTGTTCTGTTTCATCCTTCTCAGCAAGAGTAGCGGCGCTTTCATTTGTTGTTCCAGTTCCATTGGCTGGGAGATGTTTTCCAAGACTCACTAGACAAAAAGAAGCAGAAGAATTTTGAATATCACAATGATGTCCAGCTAGTTAATACTGAAGTAGAGGTGGAACTTATTCAATGCGAGTTGAACTTTTAGATCAAAAGAAAATGAATAACCAAGTTTATTACATTCGTATCAAAAAGCATCATGCTGTTAACTGTGATTCGTATGGATACCTAGAAGGGGAGAGGAAAGGAAGAGAGAAGAAAATATATAGAAGATACGAAGATACCTTGCAAATCAAGTATAGATTCACTCAAGCGGTTAATCTCACTCTGCAGAAATTTAATATTATCTTCATGCCGCTTGATTTCTAGATTAATCTGAAGAATGTTAAAATGAGCTAATAAGAAATTGGTTGTTGTTGGTTCAACATATGGCAGCAGTTTGCAGCAATTACTTGGCATATAAAATGACAACACAAACTGGAGGGACAGTATGACAAATTTACAAATGAAAGTACACAACTTCACACATCGAAAATTCACATTACATTGCCTCATTCTCACACCACACTCAACTTCTCTTTGCTCACCAACGTTTCAATTATTTAGAAAAAAATTAACAAAACCCATATCCAGCATATATCTCTCTCTGTTAATAACATTCCAAGTCTTTATCTAGGTTTTGCATACCAACTAAAAAAATTAACTCAGCATTGTCCAAAAAATAGTTAACCAATCAATTAAGACTTCATCACAACCACATGGAGCAATCTTACACAATCCCAGAAGGTTTTTCAACTATGAGCCCAATAACAGCAAGAAAGAACAATTAAACATTCTGGGTACTTAGAGAATCCAAAAAAAAAAAATAAAGGGTGACTTCAATTCATAGTACAAATTGAAAGGGGGGGTTCAAGCCAAGAAATTAGAGAAAAGAAAATGAGACCTTGTGCTGTAACAAGAAGCTTAAAAAAGGAAAGCAGTGATGAAGAAATGGAAAGTAAGAGGAAAGAAACAAAATGGGCAGAGAAGTAACCTGGTGGTGCTGGTGGTTTGGTCTAGACATGGCTGCGAAGAAGTTGACTCAGCAGCTCTTTGTTTCGGTCTCTAATTTTGCTCTGTGGAGCTGTCGGATAGTTCAAAACACAGCGGCAGTTTCGTAGGTTTTCTGTAACTGGAACTTTCTTGGCATTTTTGTTTCTGAATATCGGCCATCAAATCAAATGCATGTCAATTTGAAGTACAATGTGAAATTCGTACTTCTTCCCGCAAATATATTTGTATTAAATGAGTTTGGCTAAATTGTTAGCAATCCTAAGTAGAAAAAGTCCAATTCATCGGGATTTAATTTTTAAACTTTTTAAACTTTTTATTACGTTTACAAGTAGTCATTGGAGTTTTTCTTTTCCAAACTGATTATTGGAGTTTATTAATGTTAAGATTCCGTATGGTTTAAGAGGATTAGCTTAAAATTTAGAATGTAGAATTATGATATTAAATCTTAAGATTTAGAGTTCATTAGTTCTTGAATTTCGGTTTAAGAGCCATAACTAAACTTGAGTTTGAAGTGAATAATGCAATTCTAGAAAAAGAAACAAGTAAAAGCATAACTATATAGGTTTAATTGTGTCACGTTTTCAGCGCCTTTTAAGCACTTCGTCATTGTAACAAGGTAGTGTATAAAATTGCGGCATTTATGTCCAGAGTTGGCAGTATACATACTTGGGATGAATTATGGCCTGAGTGGATCTTTGATACTCTTGCTAGTTATGTAAACCTCACTATTCGCCTTTAATAATATTCTCTCATTGTTTGGCCAAAAAAATTAAAAAAAAACACATTCGATCTAGCCAAGGCTAATCCATGTTACATAATTCTCTTAGAAGCAAAACTACCATTTCTGCTATGGGGTGCAAATGACCCAAATCTATATAGGATATGGACCTTGGTTTGGCCCAAAACTTAAAGGGTTTATGCCTTTTCAACCCAAGAATGTCACCCAAACTTGTCATATACAAGTGATAGTTTTAAATTATAAGAGGGAATGAAGTTTTCCACACCAAGGTACTTTGGAGGTTCGAATTTGAAATTACTGATCTACAAATTAAAGTTATTTTCCACTAAGCTGGACTCCGTATGCAAACTCAATTTCAATTTTAAATTCAATCTTGTGTTGACAAGTTATATATACGATATTTGAAGGAAAAATAAATAATTAATAATAAAAAACTTACACGATAATGATTCCTTTTTGAGAGCTCAGGACAATGAATTTTATTCTTCAGACTGTGGAAACAATTTTCAAACACGCTAGCTGATGTTTGTATTTCTATTGCATTGGAATTGACTGAAAGCCTGAAACTTGTTTGCCAAGTACCATTTTAGTTGCGAAAAGTCTGCATGAAATCAGTCAAACTCTTCATCTTCTCAGAAATCTTAGGAAAGCCCTTCTTACTAAACTTATTTTTCTTTTCAACCAATATCATTTTCAGCTGCTAAAAGGTCTGCACGAAATCAGTCAAATTCTTCATCTTCTCAGAAATCTTAGGAAATCCCTTTTTCTTAGACTTTACTTTTCTTTGCAACCAATATGCTTGTGGACTAGTGGTAGGCATGCATTTTGACTATTGAATTCAAGCTACGCATTCTTGATAACATAAAATAAAACATAAGTTTTTCTTCTCAACTAGTCACTGGTCCACAGTCCATTTAGGCCACATATCCATGGAATGGAAAAACTCTATTTCTCTCTTCTTCTTCTTCTTTCATACAAGTGATATTCTACTTTAATTTAATCTAAACTACGGAGACGGCGATTCGAATTCGAGTTTAGAACAGGGAGCACATCCACTCTAACTAACTTGGCTGAGCCCACTTTTTTTCTCCTTTTTTTTCGGTTGATAAAACATCAACATTAAATGGACTTAACTACCACAAGTTCTAAATGTGCAAAGAGATGTGGGCACAAAAGCAAAACCCTAAACCCCACATTGACTTGTAATCAGCCTTCCCCATTTAGCCATATATATTTATATATACCAACCCTGAAAAGATTAGGCACAGAAAGCACAAATGTGGGCATGCGTGTGTTTGTGTTTTGGGCTGCAATCTAATCTGTCGACTTGCACCAAATTGTTCCAAAAGTCCTAGCAAATGAAGAGAGGCATTTAATTCCACAAGCAGGAAAGACCGGAACCTAAATAAGTCTACGCAGATTGGACAGGAGCGCTTCTTGGTTTTGTTCCTTAGCAAAATATGAACCACACATGTTTGGTTATATATATTATTTTTCTTTTTGGCCTTTTAACTTTTCATAATCCTTGGCCCTTTTTATGCGAGCACACATGGAGAACATGGTTTCTGTCACTACAAGAGGACCACACGGTTTATATATTCTTACTTTATTCTTGATCATTGTTTGTTAATTATATATGCTGATCTCTGGGAACCACGGGTTCAGTTTGTTTGCTTTTTTTTTCTTTTCTCAAATTCTTTTCTGGCAAGGTTAATTTAGAGAGATACCTCAGCAAGTCCTTTATAGAAAGGAGAAATATTAAAAGGGATGGCCTAGAATTTGACAACAGGATCTATTCCTTGCTCCTTTCTCATGTGCATCTATGCAAAGCTCTTTTGTCTGCTAAGACGAGAGAGAGAGAGAGAGAGAGAGAGAGAGAATTGAATTTGAGAAGGTTCTTGGTTTTGTTGTTTTATGCAGCAAAGTATTTTCAGATTGCTTCAGAACCAAATAGCAAACCAAGTTTACCATTTCAACCGCGACCAAACAGAAGACATATACAAAAATTAGTTTTGCTGTCAACATCTCCTAACAGTCTAAAGAATACTAGCTGCCCTCGTGAAAAGCATGCTGACCACAAAAACTTATATCTCATTTTTATGAAAGAAATATGAAACATATGTGTCACCAATATGAAACATATGTTACCAAAAGTTTTGAGGCAGACAGGGAGATGTTACCAAAAGTCCACCTCTGCTGCTTGCCCATAGACCACAATGTTTTCAGAGCTGTTGTTAATGTCTTCTTTTTTTTGGTCAAGAGCTGCTGTTAATGTCAAGGGAAATTATTTGGAACATGTTTCTTTCTTTCCGTTGCGAGATCAACTTGAAAATAGGTTTCGTTAGTGTTTCTCGGTGCAGAAGGCTTTCCTTCCAACAATCTAAGAGAAGAACAAATTTACCTTGATTTAGAAAGGAAAAAAATGAAAGAGAGGGTGAAATGCCTAAACAAGACAATCGAATTTAAATGTACAATATATATGTGACTTCTTTTAATCCTTTGGGTCACTTTCGGTGACCGATTGAATTGGATAACTCACTGAATTCAAGGTAAGTCGAAGGAACAAATAGAGGCCAATTTTCAGAATTTGTCCGAGTTGAATGCAGTCATAAAGGAAACTTACGTGAGAGGACAGAAGAAGAATCCAGCACATTTATATAACAGTGGTATCCAGTAGAAATAAGTGTCATTATGATATATAAAAAAATTATGGTAAGATTCATACGAGGAGCAAATAACAAAAAAGGAAAACAACGAAACTAGCATTTAAAAAACAAAACAAATCTATGAGCTTCTTGATAACCAACAATTTTAGAGTCGGTTAAACTTACAAATGTAATCGACCTTGCAAGAATACTTAGGACAGAATATGTATGCTATAAACAATCATAGAAATTTTGCTCCCCTACTTGGTCATTAGGTAGTTATTTTTTCTACTTCTAGCTAGCAATGCTATTCCTTTTCAGGATCCCTGGCTGTATATCAAAACCTCTGAAGAAACTTTTAAATGGGTTCTTCACTTACTATACCTATGGACTATGTTAATTGCAATTCTCCTGCTACCCAACCGATGACAATGACTGTAAGGAGTTGGATTCCCGGGAAAATGCTGCAATCAACTTTTCCTTCGTCAACGGCTCGGAACCCTGAGATTTTATGACAAACGTATGAAACACAGTATCGTTTGCTGCGGCAAGTTTTGACTCGACAACGGTGATTTGTGCCTCTTTGAATGCTTGGATGACTCTTGATGCAGGGTGGGAATCCAAAGGGCAGCTCACCCTTACAACAACCTCATCATGCACAGCTTGAATATCAACATCAGTTGCCTGGCTCTGGTTTTCCATACTGATACCTGGATTTGCCCCTAAAGCTGACGCATCTCTTGAAGTGCTCCCAAGGTTCTCCCTATCTGCTTCCATCACCTTAAGCTTCGCCTGGAGCTCATTGATGTAAGAAATGGCATCTCCCAACAAGGATGCTTTGTCCATCTTGGATATGTTGGGCACAACAGCTCGTAAAGCATAAAACCGCTGGTTCAGCTTCTCACGCCGCTGCCTCTCTGCCTCCACATGATTGAGGGGTTCTTCTCTTCCGTTTGCAGGCTTCCTGCCCCGTTTTCGCGGCCTCCTTTCATCAGCCGTGCCTGGCCGCTCTTCTTTGCATGGAGCTTCGGCATCTGAGTTCTCAGAATCAGCACCAACAGGTCGGGCAACCACAGAAGGCCTTGAAGTGGCCCCTGAAAAGTCAATTTGCATGGGTACCTGCTTCTGTGGTTGATAATGGTTAAGACGAAAATCATCCCTGACCCCATTAACAAGCTCCTGTATATTATTCACAGGACTTTGAGAAGCATACATCTCAGTTGGGCTCCCCTGTTTCGCATCATGAATATGTGGCCAACTTGAACCTTGAATACCATTTCGAGGACTTGAAAATGCAATCCTGTTCCCATTTGAGTACACATCCCACGGCCTCTCCTCCACCTTTCTAACGGCAAGTTTCTCTCTATAACGAGGCCGGCCTGAGTTCAAATCTTGCCCAAAAATTTTGGGAACTCCTTCCCCTCTCTCCACAGGGCTCAAATTAGTTAGCTGGGCATTTTCATCTCTCCTCTTTCCCATCACCGGGAACCCTGTCAGGGGCTTAGACCTCATGAGCGAGGACTGAGTCGAAAACAGTGACCTTATGGATTGCAACAACTCTAAACTCTCCCCTACACATCTCACTGAACCCAATTCAACGACACCCACATCTGTTGGGACTAAAACAATTGTCTGAACTCCAGCAGACTTAGCAAGAAACGATCGAACACAATAATCTGACTCCGATTTCAACAAGTCCGAGAGCCAGACATGCTTCCCAGACGCAAAGCACTTGCCAGGGCCCCCTTCTCCTCTTGGAAACGAAAAATACATAGAAGCAAGCAAGAACATCTCTGTATCAGTGACCCGGTCTAATCCAAGAGCACCATTATACTCATCTGAGCTCCCAAAAAAAGTGTGCAACTTCTGAAGAACTATCTTCCTCATCGTCTGCTGGGTCTCATCCTCAAGCCTAAGATTGAGATTTCTTGTGGCTTCAGACTCTTCACCCTCCTTAGGCTCTCTACAAGAACCATCCCCCCAACACAAAGCCCAATCACCAGACTTGGACCTTGAAATTTGCCAGAAAATTGCATAATTCCAGCTAAAATTTGAAGCATTCGGAGGCTCCACAAGATCCGAGAGCTTATTGTGCAAATTTTCATCAGTCCCTATACCCATGCACGAATTCTCATTCGAAGAAACCGAGCTCGATATCAAGTAATCGAAAGCTCGAGTGCCTAAAACTGCAGCAACCATAGCCTTATCTCCATCATTCCAAACCCCACCTCCTAAACCCATCTCAATCTTCATCTATAAAATCCAGAAAATCAATTACCCAACAAATATCAAACTTGAAATTTCAATACCCACATCAAATCTCAGCCCCAAATATCTGAAACTTTATACATTCAACCGAATCAAATACACCCAACATGGCTACAATTTCAGATCTCAAAGAACCATAATTTCAAGCCACAAAGAAAACCCATAAACAAAATAAATCCAGAAAACACAAGGGTCAAGAGAAAACTATACACACCAGTTTCGGCATGCAAAATGGGATCATGAGGAATTGATTGGATAAGGCAGCAAAGCAAGAAGAGTCCTTCTTTGGCACTGGAACCATTCCCGGGAAAGTGAGAGTTTCAACTGAGGGACAGACTTCTTTTTTTCCCGGAAAACAAACAACCAGTTATTTCACGAGCAATAATGAGAGCCCAGAAAAAAAAAACCATAAAAAAGCTTTGGCCTTTGCTTTGTTTAAAGCAAAAGTATGGAGGTTAGAGGAACTGGGTTTTGTCTGTGTTCGTTCTTCTTGTTGGGCTCTCCTAAATCCTAACTGCATGAATGTACTCTGGTTAAAAAGCTTAAACTCTGATTTAGGGTTAATTCTGAACCGTGGTTAAAGTCCTCAGGTTGGTTTGGTTTGGGGTTGAGGAGAAGTAGTCGGCAAAGATTCTGTGTGGGTGTGTGTTTTGCCGAATGAGGGGAAGGCACCTGAGAGAAAGCCTTAAAGCTACGAACTTTTTAAATAATTATCTCATGGGATTTATTGACTTTTCTTTTTTAGGTAAATTATAACCTGCGACTGACATTAGTTTCTTTATTTTTTGGGGCTTGATCGTGTTTTTTTTTTCTGAAAAAAAATGTAAAACTATCGTATACGTGTAATCGCCGGCAAAATAGACGCATGAAGTAAACTCAAGAACAAAACTGTTGGTTTATTATTGACACTATTAGCGCACGATATACTACTATAAAATTTGTTATACATGCAATTACCAACAAGTTATATGTATCAGATAAATTCAAATGAACGTTTTAATTTACACCTTTAGAACTTTTTACGTATTTGTTTCACTATTGCATTTTTGACTCATGATCTAGTGTCATGAAATTCTCGTATAATCACAAACAAACTATATATACATATATATATGAGATAAATCAAAGTATGAAACTAAGAACATTCAACTTACTTATTTTATATTTGTTATTCTTGTAATGACATCATTGTCTCATGATAAATTCCTTATACCGACAAACAAACAATATCTATAAAATAGACTTGGTTCGAAACTAAGTCGTTTGAGCTTAACACTCTTGCAAGTTGGGCTTAATCGAGTTTTAGGTATATTTACCAATAGGTTTAGCATAAAAGATTACAAACTAGTCACCCTTGGTCACTGAGTCAAAAGAAGAAGACCATTACGTTACATTCCTTTACCTTTGGTTTAGGAACATGATAGATTATATGGTACCTTTGTTAAGGAAATTGCTTTAATGCTCCATCTTTTGAGATTTGTACTCGTTTCCTTTTATACTTTTTTCAAATAAGATTTGGACATAGCATCGTGTATTATCTTTTTATTTTAAAACACAAAAACAAAAAAATAATCAGTAAAGAATCCACTAGTGTAGTGATTTTAGAGTGATTGCTCATTTATGAAAGGTTATTGGCTCGAGACATAACATTTGTATAGTGTGTGTGAGTTTAATATACTATCACTTGTTTCAAGAATATTGAAGCTCGTTAATTTAACAAAGATGTGTCCGCCTTATCAAAATAAATAAATTAACCAAATGATTAAACAATGGAAATTAAAATAGATCTCCGAATCAAAATCCTTTTTCAGTAGACTACTCAATCATTAATTGTGTGAATTTTGATACACATACTTGCGGGTGACTTTTTAAAAAGGGAACAAAATAGGAAAAGGATAAAAAGATAAATGTGGTGAGCGATGACTATGTTGTCTCCTCCGATGCCATTAAATTATCTTCATTCATGTGCCTAATAGTTCTTGGTAGGATCCACCAAAAAAGTAAAACGAGGTTGACCCGTGTGGGTCCCAAAAACATAAACAACCATAGACTAATTAGTAAATTGAGTTTAGATTTATAAATTTCATTTTCAATCACTTGCACTCCTTTTTTTTATTTTTTTATATTTCAAATATTCACTTTTTTCAAATAAAATTCGATGACTATGATCCAACTAAGCAAGTTACTTAATTTAACTTAAATATGATTTATTATATTTTTTGAATTCCAAAACTACCCATATTTACAAATTATTGTGTTATGTGATGGGTGTATTAAGTCTTAGTTCATGAATTTATTGTTTTGATTTTCTCCCATCAAATTAGTCTGCAATTCAATACTCTTTGTTTTTTAACTACAATTCAATACTCTTTATGCATAAGTTTTGATTATAAATTTACTTATGATTTAAATAATATACCCAACTTATTTAACGTATTTTGAAAATAATGTACCTAATATTTTATAAAAATAATTTACCTATTATCAATAAAAGATAATAAGTAAATCATTATCAATAAGAGATAATAGGTAAATTGACATTATCAATGAAAGATAATAGGTAACTATGTAGGTACATGTCATAGAGGTAAATTATTTTTATTTATAAATGAGCACCATTGTAGGTACATTATAAAAATAATACACATGCCATTTATATATAATAATAAAAATCCCTATCAGTACAACAATTATTTTTATTATTACTTTTTATGGAATCAACACAAATTTACGACAAGGAAGGAATCATCAATATCCAAGAGAACGAATTAATGAAGGTTAATGGCACATATTGTAATTTAATTGATAATACTATGACAAATATTATCTTAAATGACAGCATATTTCAAATTTGGGTTAGAAATGGTTGAATTTGTATATAGAAAATAAGAATTACATGAGTATTTCCCTTAAGAACCCCGGAAGGAAACACAATCCAACGGTGTGTTCCATTTGATTGTGTTTCATCATTGGGCATCATGATGTTTTAAAACCAATCCTGAAAAACCCAAAAGAATTTGATAAGTTTGAGGTTAGAAGCTTAATGAAGATGAAAAGTAGGATTAGGAGGCATGATAATGCGGATGTGGCCCTTAATTGAGTAGAATCAAAGGCACATGAAAGTTGAAAGCGATTCTTAGCTAAAGGCTTTCTTTTTTTCTTTTTTTCTTTTTTTCTTTTTCTTCTTTCTTGAGCAATAATCCTAAGAATAATGGGGCATGCCCGAAAGCAATTGAATATTGTTTACACTTATCTTATCCTTATCATATTTAAATGTATTATTCATAAGTTTTAATTTGGTTAGATAAAAAAATTACTAATTAGGTATGTAACATTGACATGTATGCTTATATCATTATGATTTAAATTGATAATTTAACAACTTAAGATATTTATAAGATTTTGGTGCGTCAAATTGTTAATACAAGTAATATTGACAAAGGAGGAAATAGAGATTACTAAATTCATACGTTTTACACACTTTCAAATGCGAGAGTTACCTTATCTCACAAGAATATCAATTCATTCATTTTTCACGCATGACGCGAGTCAGCTCGCCTTTAACACATTTTGGGCGAATCCATCACTCTCCACCTACAACGCCAACACACAAAAGACATCATACTCATGCCACATGGCTACAAGCTTGTGGGCCTTGGATACGTGGCTAGATTTGATCAATCGACAGTTTATCAAAAAACGTATAAAGATAATCGAACAATGAGTGATAATTAACACTAAGAAACTGTGATGAAGCTTGCGAATAACACGTGGCATTATCAGGAATCGAGAGGTGGTCTGTGTATGAAGAGGAACACTTACATGAAATGGAGATAGTATTGTTTTGTTATTCTCGTTTTATACAAGTTTTTCTAGTGTATAAGTTGTGTCCATCAGCTTGTGAGAGGCAGCATTTATATATACATATATATATTTTATACTTATTAATAAAAATGTTTGGATTTTTATATGAATTCTCTATGAAAAGTATACATAATGTCAAAACAAAAAACGAAGTGTGACCTACAAGGAGAAGGCCAATTATGGATAGTTACTATATAGGATATTTCTATAAATGTATCAGTTGCAAGTTGCAAGAACACGAGGGCCACAAATTGATGAGCTGAAAGCTACGTTGGCTTATGTTGTAATCCAACCCAATTTTAATGTTAAACGCTACCGTTAAGATTGTGTTATATTTTCTTCGTATTTTCGTTTTTAGCTGGAAAAAACAAAAATAGAAACAGTAAAATAATAAATAGCCCAAAACGCACAGTAGCAGCACACGGTTTTGGTGTGCGTCTGAGTCGGTTGCAGCACACGTGAGAAACGCTATCGTTACAAAACTGTCACACTGCCGGGCCGCACAAGGCAACAATAAGGTCGACAGGGCTGGGGGCCACGTGAAGTGAAAGGTCATGAAAGTACCCTGAAGACCTTTGTTCTTGCGCGGTTTAATGGAGGGTATTTTGGTCTATTTTCATGGCGGGTGATACTGGATTGATGCACCGCGTGATGCGACGACCGACGTCAGAGGCGACGCGGTTCACGTGCTCGTAAAGAGGCGAGGGGTAGGTTGGGAAGTGAGCCTTGTGGGACTTTTGAGCCAATAGGTGGGGGCCACGCTAAGGCTGGTCAGAGGGTCCACGACCGATAGACTGTAGGCGATCACAGCCCTGCCACCGGCTTCGACTTTGGCTGAAAGGGAATGAATGGCTGTAGGGCTTCACAAATTATATTTGTGAGAGATTCTGTTTGGTTTTGCAAAAGTCCAAGTCTGAAAACGCGTTTATCCACGGTCACGCCACGTGGTGGACCATCTCCATTGATTTTTACCCCCTTTTTTGTGGTGTTTTACCTTTTTTACCCTCATAAATCATCACGCGATACGGTTGAAGAAAATGGTGTCACACATATCTTGTGTGTCATGTCCTGTGTCACGTGTCACTTTCGCAATCAATTGTTTCTGGAGATATTTTTAGCCAATTTTTTCAAAAGTGAACGGAAATAAGTTTCACATTCTTTCTTTCTTTTGCATTGTTTTTTAAAGTTAGTTCGTACAATTTTGGAACGTACTAACATCATTTTTATTTTATATTACGACAAAATGTTTTCATACAGAAATTCTCTTATGTGAATGTTCAAACATTATTATCGTGCATAAATTATATATTTTTTATTATCTCTTTTTATTTATAATGACATATGCACGATAATAAAATATGGATATCCAGGTAAGAGAATAATTTATGTTTAATATATATAGAATATGCAAATAAAAGTCAAGACAATGTAATTTTT